TTAGAGCAAAGGCCACAGGCACTGGCCTGTGTACATGGGAGGGCAAGGCTTGGCACTGCCCCTCTGCAGTGACCATGGGGGCAGTGATGGGGAGGGGCACACAGCATCTTAGAGGGTTCCTTCTTGTTGCCTTTTACTTAGACCTCAGGAATAAACTACTAATGCTACGGGTATGGGGAAAGAAAAGGCAATTAGAAACTTCAGGAAAAGCAAAAAACTGTACAAGGATGTAATGTAATAAGGCTGAGGTCAGGGTGGGCATGTTGAGGGGTGGGGGTCCTCTCCTTTCCACCTTGAGGGCCGTGTTCTCCCAGCAGGAAGGGAAGAACATCCTGGCCCCGAGCATGGGGTTGGGTTTGCAGCCAGGCTGCCGAATTCCTCCTTCCTCGGTTGCTCACGAGGTAAAAACACTGTTCTCTGAAATACGTCCTCCAAATTATAACTTTCTCTTTCCTCTTCTCTGTCCTCTTCCTTCACCACTTCCCTCACCACCACCCTGTCAAGCCCGTTGAAGTTCAAAAGACATCAACGAATCAGGGCTGAGTAATGGTGGTGGTGGAGGGCTTGCTCCTGTGTAGCTTGAAACTCAGTTTCCTCATTTGCGAGCTGAGAAAACAATATTTACTTTGCTGGGGTTATTTCAAGGTTGCCTGAGATAAAGGTCTGACTTGTTCATGGTTTTACTTCTGGTATGTGCTCCGTACAGGGGATTCCCTTCCCACCAATGATGATGAGTTTGTTTCCTAAGAGAACCTTCTGTTCCAAGAGGCCACAACAGTGAGAGGCCCGCGTGCGGGGATGCAGTTTAGAGTTGGGTGGGGGGCCACTTGAGATTCACCAGAGACTGAATGACACTAGGAAATGGTAAAAGCTAATGTGTAATAAACACTTATCCTGTATCTGGTGCAGTGTTTTAGTGAATTCAGTCATTTCATCTTTATGGTAACTCTAGAGATGGGTACAGCTATTGTTCCTGTTTTATAGGTGAGAAAACTGGGGCTCAGAGAGGTGGAGAGCCTTGCTCGAGGACACACAGGTAGTCAGTGGCAGAGCTGGGGTTCAAGCCCTAGTGGCCATCCCGCACCTGTCCCCCCGGGCCCCCCAGGCCGTGCTCACCTGTGCTGTCGAGGCTCTCCTCGCATGACTGCCAGAGCCCCAGGTGGAACCTGCGCCAGATGAACCTGTCGTCTCCCGTCTCCCAAATGTACTGGACGGCCTGGGTCCCGTTCTCCCTGCTGCCACTGCTGTAGTGGATGCAGTGCAGCACCTCCGGATGGTCCTGGCACAGCGGCTTTGCCACCCGCCGGGTCCCCTCACACCAGTAGCTGCTGCCCACGGCCGTGAGGGAGAAGGCGAGGGCGAGGCAGACGGGGAGGAGGGCCAGTACCCGCTGTCGCCTGGCCCGGTCCATGGCCGAATGCGGGGTGCAGAGGCAGGATGAGCCGTGGGGCCCCCCTCCCCTGCCTTGTCATGGTACCTGCCCCTCCTCAGCCCGCCATCTGGCATTCTTACATCTTCCCTCACATCCCCCTGGGAAACCGGTGCTCTCCAGCGTGCAGCGTCCTCTGAGCACCTGTACCCTGAGGAGGCATAGCGCTGGGACGCCCCCGCTTTAACAGTGTCAGCCCTTCTGTCCCGCCCACGATGGAGAGGTGCTGGAGGTGCCAGTTTTCTGTTTTTGCTCAACTGTGGTGCAAATACGCATAACCCAGAATTCACCACGTTAACCGTTTTTAAGTGCACACTTAAGGACATTCGCGTTCGGCCACCAATCTCCAGAGCTCTTTTCATCTCACGAAACTGAAACTCTGTCCCCATTAGATGCTAACTGCCCATCCCTCCACCCCCAGCCCCTGGCAACACCCACGATACTCTCTATGAATTTGGTCACTCTAGCTATACGTGGAATTTGTCTTTTGTAACTGGCTTTTTTCATGTAGCATAATGTCCTCAAGGTTCCTCGTGTTGTAGCAGGTATCAGAATCTCCTTCCTTTTAAAGACTGAATAATGTCCCATGGTGTGGATACGCCGCAATTTGTTTATCCATTCATCCACTGATGGATAGACACTTGACTGGTTTCCGCTTGGTGGCTGTTATAAAGGACGCTGGGTTCTGACGGAGGTCCAGGGTGGTCTGGGTGGGTGTCTGGGTGAGACTGCTCCACCCTTGTCTTTTGCTTTGGTCAGGGTCCTCGGGCTGAGGCCTGCCCAGCTCTACAGAGAAAGAGACTGCTGCGGAGAACAACTTCCGGCCCAGGGACTGAGACGCTCCGGTCTAGGCAGCCTGCTTCAGGGCCTGAGTGCTACGCAGAGGGGAGGGGGGCATGCACCCCACATGGGTGCATTCAGCACCACCCTGGGGCCTCCATAGCTGGCAGGCAGGGGCCCTGGCATATTGTTGCAGGAGAAGGGCGGGGGCGGGGGGGGGTGAGGCGAGAGAATGGTCACATCCCAGGTCTCAGGGGAGTCCCTGGGATGGGCGGCCAAGTTAGGGTCCTTGGCTTCGCACAGGAAAGAATTCGAGAGCAAGACAGAGTGAAATGAAAGCGGGTTTGTTTAGAGGGATACACATACTGGATGCAATGCGGACCTTCTCAGAAAGTGAGAGGGCCTTGGGGTGCAGGGTTGTTAGTTTTTATGGGCCGGGTAATTTCATATGCTAATGAGTGGGAGGGATATTCTAAGTATCTTGGAGAAGGGGTGGGGATTTCCCCTGCATTGGGACACTGCCCACTTTGTGGCTTCTTATGATCTGCCTCGGAACTGTCATGGCGCCGGTGGGCGTGTCATTAACATGCTAATATATTACAATAAGCGTATAATAAGGCTCAAAGTCTGCGGGAAGTAAAGTCTTCCACCATCTTGGTCCTAACCAGTTTTTGTCGTATGCTCAAAGGCTGTGGCATTCTTTTAACGGTTGTGCCCTGCCCCCTTCCCTCCTGTCTCATTATCACTCATGCCCTTGCCCAGGGCGCACTGCAGGAGCGGCGTTGCCGAGGAGACTTAAGCTGCTTCTTGGGCAGAGGACATGGATGAAACAGTGAGGGCCAGAGGAGGGTAGCAGAAGTTTCCACATGGCATCTGGAGCACACAGGTTCTCCATCCCATGTTAGACACCTCCAAAGACCCCCAGATATAATGGAGAATATGCCAGCCTGGGCAGGTAGGAGAAAAAGGCCAGGGTCATTTGGGTCCATATTACTCTGTCTGGACTTTCCTGCTGGTAAAGACAGAGGACTGTGGTCTGTGCTGTGGGTAGCCTGTGAGCTGTGTCTGTTTGTCCTGGTTGCCAGCCAGTCTTGTGGGAAGAGGAGTTACCTCGTTATAGCACTAGATGGCATCCATCCAACAGGTTGGGAAGTCGTGTGCAGTCCCCCAGCCCCTGTCCCTTCAGAAAAAAGATGTTTTTGAGAAAAAGTTCAAAGAGTTTCGATAGAATATTCTTATCAAACAGGCACTGTCTTTGCCAGCAGGCAACTTGGAAGATAGTCTGCAAAGTGCATTACAGACTAGGTTTACAGCCCCACACAGGATCAGAGCTATCACGCGAGCAGTTTTCCTCCTCTCGGTCCCTTCATCCCTCTCTCTGCTGCCCCAAAGAGATGAACACATGGACGCCAGAGTTCACATCATTATATGAGTCCATCTGGCGGGAGGTGGCGTCTATGTTCATTACGGGCGTTTTACTTCTGACACTTAGAGTCTTGCCACTTTTTTTAAGATTTCCATTAAGTGACGCTCACCTGTTTTTCTCCAACTGTTCAGAATTCACTCACTTGGGTAAGTTAACCAGGTTAAGCTCCTCTGGTTCAACTTATGGGGGGGGCGGGAAATCCCTAAATGGAAACATGGTGTTCCTGTCTCTTGCTGACCAGCGTTTCATCCAGTCAGGACATCTTCTGCTGGGACTCCAGTTCAGGAGGCTGGAAAGAACTTGCAAGCGGCTGCCGGGAGCTGGACAGGGAGGGGAGGGTGAGAAGGGCCAAGCAGAGCCTCTCAGAGACACAGTGCTGAGCCTACTAGAGAAAAGGAACTCACCTAGAGGGTTAGGGTCAGATATGGCACCTGACCAAGTAGCTGTGGTCAGGTGACTGGTCAGAAGACCTGGGTATCCTGGCTCTGCCATTTACTTGCTGTGTGGCCTTGGGCAAGCCGCCTAACCTCTCTGAAACTCAGTGTTGCAGCTGTCAAGTGGAGAAATCATCATACCCCCACAGGGTTATCGTGAGGATGAATGAAATAGGATGCCAGGTGAAAAGATTTTATATATATGAGGTGTGGTGAGAAAGGACACACACGTTAGTTGGCAGTCGTGGATCATGGGTTCTGACAAAGGATCTGCCAGGTGGACTGAGCAACCTTTGCTCACAACCAGTAGGGGCAACCCAGAGGCGTGCACATTTTTGAATTTTTAGGATGTTCTTTGGCTGTTGTGTAACAGGAACTCGAGGTGCTGAGTGAGGTTTTGCTTCAGGCCCTGGGTCAGGAGCTGCTATCTCCTGGGCTGGGCAGCTGTCTTTCTGGAAGTCTTGGCATAAACAGGGCCCAGAGGAGACTCTGCCTTTGTGGCTGGGCTCAGCCCAACCTGGACAAACTTAAAGCCGTAGCAAGAATTGTCCCCCTCCCAAAGCTGCCCACCTCAGCACTGGCTAGGGGCCCATCCTCCCTGCCACGGGTCCTCAGCAGCTGGAACCCAAGCCGGTCCCACCCTGGTCCTGTGCACAGAGCGGGGCTTCGGGGGGTGGAACCCACTGACCGCTTTGCCTTTTCTCCTGGGCGGCCTCTGTCCAGGAAGTCCCAGGAGCACAGCTGACTTGGGGGAGGTCTGGGAAAAATCTCCTTGCTTTTTGGGGGGGCCGGGGCGGGGGATGAGTCGTCACAGATGAGAAACTTTGGAGATCTGGTAGATGGCTCTAGACTGGGGCAGACGCTCTTGGGGCGGCGTCCAGAGGGTTTGTGCAAACATTTTCTCGCCGTAGGAAGAGGAATGCAAGAGGAGGCCGCCTGTGGTACATCTTGGACCGTTCAAGCAATGTGCCAGCACTTGTGACCGCACGGCGAGGAAGATGAGGCCGGAACCGAGGCGGGCAGGGCCCAGGAGTAGGAGAGTGGGACCCCTGCCCGGAGCCCACACAGTGCCCGCGGGCGTCCCTGCCACCCGGGGGGCCAGGCCTCCCCCCTCCCCTGGGAAGCGGGCTCTCTGGACCCCTGCGAGGCCCTTCCTGGCCCTGCTGCTTCTGGTTTCCATCAAGCAAGTAAGAGCCGTTTGTATTGTTATTGTTACTGTTATTATTATCAGTTGTATGTATTTTCTGACTGTAGAAGCACTTCAGGCCTCTTGTAGGCAATTTGGAAAACGTAAAACAGTATTGAGACATAACGATCCCCCGTAATCCAAGCATTCAGAGGTAATCACTGTTCACATTTTGGCATATGTTCCTCAAATCCTTTTTCTATGCATTTTATTTTTACACAGATGGAATTAGGATGCAGACAACATTTTGTATCCTGGTCTCGCCTTTACATCATATCATAAGCATTTTCCCATGTCAGCGTGAACTCTGCAAAGAGCATTTAGAATTCCTGCATGTTTCCTCCTGTCCACTTTCATCGTTCTTTCAGGTTTGAGTTATTTAAATTGAACGGGTGGATTTTTTTTTTCCCTTCCTTCCTTCCTTCCTTCATTTCTTCCTTCCTATTATAAAAATACAGAATGCTCATTTTTTACAAAAAGGAACTTACCAAATCCAGAAAAGCATAAATACAAACTACACACCACTGTAATCCCACCACCCAGAGATCACCCCCATTCACATTTTTTGACTTATCCTTAAGACATTTTTCTACCATTTATTTACATATAGCTTTTTTTAAAACAAACATAGACTCATCCTATAAATATTTTCTTGCAATATGCTTTTTTTCTTAACAAAATACACTAATATCACAAACTAACACTTCCATGAAACGGTTACTATGCCCCAGGTCTGGTGCCAGGTCCGGGGCCCTTATTATCTCATTTCATGCACTCAGCAACCCTGGGGAGGGAGGTTCTCCTGTTAACCCCATTTTACAGATGAGAAAACTGAGTCTCAAGGAGGTTGAACTTTCTTCCTACATCAGAAAATGTAGCTCCGTGGCATGATGTTTAAGGTCTTCAGGGGTGTATCATAATGTATGTAACTATCTTCTTTAGTTGGGCGTTCTTGGTAGTTTGTTTTATTCTTATCCAAGGAGACGAGACCTTTGCCCCTTCCCTTTTCAAGGTTCCTTTTTTATACCGGGCCATGATGTGAAGGAAATTCTGTTCCACTCACCTGAGTAAGGAAGTGTCTTGAGAAATGCTTCTCTTCTTCCTTTGGTCCACGGGCAGAGTTAGGCTCTGTTTGCAACCTCGGAATTCTGAACGCCTACTGCTCCCATGGAGGGAGGGCTGGGTGCCGGCTCTCATAAGTGTTCACCTTATCAGACTTTCTTTGGTGCTGGTGCAGAACCAGACAGGCAGAAAACCCCTACCAAATTCTCTGTATCCAAGTCCTCCCAGAGGCTGGCTTCAAACCCTCACAAAGGGTAGATGTGAGCGCAGACCGTGGTTTCATGGGATTCTTGCCATGGTGGCTGCCTCTCGTGAGTGACCAGAACCTTCCTGAGGGGACGTGGCCTGGCCTGCCGCCTGCCCCGAGACTTACTTAGTGGCAGGGCCATTGTTGGGAGAGTTGATACAGGTCTCTCACCCTTGCTTCAATTCTCTACCTCATATTCAAACGGAGTATATTCAGCTAATTGCCTGGTTTTGTTCACCTCCTATCCACAACCATGTGTCAACTGTCTATTAGGTGCCAAGCTCTCCTGCAGCACTTGGCATTTTATCCTAAATCATCTTGCCCAAACTCCCACAATGAGCCTTTGAACCCATTTCACAGATGGGGAAGTTAAGATTCACAGGAGTTACACAATCACCTGCAACGGTATAGCTTGTGAGCAGTGGAGCCGTCGCACCTACCCCCATCTATTTGCAGTCCTGTGTTCTTTCATCCCCAGCATTCCTTGGAAGCTGTGGACATACGAATATTTCTATGTGACAACCGCGGAATCTGCAGTGCCTCAGGCCGGCTTATGACACTGACCAAGCCACACCTTGGTATTTTCATAATTGATACCGTGCCTGTGAGCAGTGTCCCCTCCCCGCCTCTGCCACCCCGTCTGTTTTCAGAACCTCTTACCCTCTGTCTGTCCTGTGGTGTGTGTATATAATCCTGAAGACCCTCCTCTTGGTTACCCATCTTAAAACCCATCTTCTTTCTCCAGATGTTTATGTTACAAGGCTTTGCATAGATCGCCACGATGAGTGTTGCTCATCGACGCTGGCCCTGCATGGATATAAATGACCGCAATGTGCTTTTGCCTGGAAGTCTTCATAAAATTCACTTAATGAGAAATTCTCAGGGATCGTTTAGTTTCTAAATTCGAGCTGGGAAACGGTGCTATCTTCTCACTTCTCCTACCCCTCCCCACAACTCAGTTAATTAGCAGTTGCTTTGGCATCAAAAAATATAAACTCTCTAAGGCTCTTTAAGAAGTGAATGTGTGGCTGTTTCATACTTTGCTGATGAGAGTGTAAAAAGGTGAATATTTTTAAATAAAAATTATTTTTTTGGCTAGGATAGATAGTTTGGCAGTACATTGTCAAAACCTTTTAAGAATGTATAGTCTATGACCCAGAAATTCCAATTCAAAGAATTTTTCCTAAGAAAACAAAGATGTGCTCAAATTTTTAGCTGAGACTATTTTCATGACAGCATCGTTTATATTACCAAACATCTAAAACAATGTAGATGTTCAACGCTAGAGGATTTAAAAAATAAATGATATCACATTCATCCACAGAAAATCATGGAGCTCTTAAAATGGTGTTTTAGAAGTGTAGGTCTTGAAATGGAAATATAGTCATAATATATCTTCAAGTGGGAAAAAAGGCTACAAAACAGTATGATTTCCTTTTGGGTTAAAATGAAGAAGAAAAGAAAGAAGAAAGAAAAAGGACGTATGTGAGTGCAGAGAGAAGAGTCTGGAAGGAGATGGTTATTTCTGACGAAAAGGATTAAGATTCCATCTTCTCCCCGTTTTGCTTGTCTGTTCATTTTTATTTTATTTACAGTGAAGTCTGTTCCTTCAGTAACAAAGAACAGTAGAAGTTTTATTTAAAGCAAGTCAGCAGCGGCTTTTCCCTCCTTTTCCTTACTCCCTTCTCAGCCAGATGTGTTGTGATGCTGGCTGCCCATGCAAGGAAAAGGGGAATCACTATCAAGCTGAACTTTTCCAGTTAGAAAACATCCACCCATCATTACTTTATTTGGGTTTGGCTGTGATTGAACTTGGATTTGCCTCCTGTGTTTTTGGTGTCGTTAGGACAGATACCTGGGAAGACAGTCTGAGTCTGTCCAGCTCTTCTAGACTGACCAGATTCAGTGCTTCTTAGGTTTTATTTTTTTCTTCTGACCCTGGCTGTTAGTCATGGCAAAGAGCAGGGGGATAGGAGAATGTTAGCCCAGGGACAGCTCACGTCTACAATTGATTTTATTATCTCTTCCTCTGCCGGGTCCTGGTGGATATAAACAGCACTTTATCCAAGAAAGGGTCTTTCTTTGGTGGCGTGGAGGAAGGTGGAAGCTGATGATTTTGTTATCAACATCTCTGCGGAATTTGTAAAAATAATATAGTCAGTTATGGTCCCATTAGGATGTGTATTTCTTTAAACAATGTGGTCTTTTGTTCCATTGTGCCTCTTGGGCCATAACTGAGAGAGAGATTATTACTGGAGATTTAAAACTCACTGGAAACTGAAACCAAGGGGTAAATGCCAATCATTTCATCATCGTTACCATCCTGATGACTACTTATTGGCTAATGCCATGGTTCCCAGGTTGTGTGCTAAGGTGCCCCAGGGCACCGCTGTGAACTCGCAGGGGTGCTGTTAGATATTTTAATTTTTTGAGGGAAGCAGCATTTCATTATTATTATCCATTCCTTCAGATGACGTTGTATCTTTGCAAAGCTGGGCTTCTTTGCAGTTCCTGTGATAAAAAGCAAGCACTGCGCAAAAATCAGTGTGGGACAGGAGCACAGGTAGTGATGGCCAATCTGCTTCTCAGGTCTGAGACGTCTTACAATCCCCCGCAGGCACTAAGTTTGTTCGGGTCTACCTACTTAATGAGTGGAACTTTAGATATTTCTTTTGGCCTGGGGATGCTGTGGAAAAATTATTGAGACACGAAAGGCACTGAGAGCTGAGAAAGTTTGGACACCTCTTGTCTGATGATGGCCATACTAGCTCTTTTTCAGAAAGTTGGCTATGTGATTCTCTGGAAAGATGGCAAAGCAACTACTCACAGACCCTAATGTGAATGCCATGGGATCGGGCAGGGGGGCATGGTGGGCAGAGGAGGGAGGGGGTAGATTGGACTAATTACTCAGGAGGTGAAAACTAGCTACCTGTGGGGCTCACAGATGGTTTTTGTTTGTTTGTTTCGTTCTGTGTGTGTGTGTGTGTGTGTGTGTGTGTGTGTGTGTGTGTCTGAATGCCTTTTGGTGGACTGTCTCCCCAATTTACAATAGCCCCACCATCACCTGTCCCACCTCATTCTTTCAGGTTACCTACCTGGCCCAGAAAAGCACTGAGTTTGTTACCCCTTGTGAGAGGAGACAAAGCCACAAAGCTCACTGATTTGCTGGGTGATCTTAGCACAGATCACATGTTTAACCCCTGCTGGATTCATCCCAGCCCCCTCCTCGCCCCATCTCTGAGCCTCTGTTTCTCTAGCTAGAAAATATGGGAGAAAGAGGACAGTAGCCCCTGTGCTAAGGGTTGGTGTTCAGAGATGAAGGGCTAGCTCGGCCCTCCAAGAACATACGCGTAGTGAGCGAGATGAACGTGTGACCCGCCGATGACAGTACAAAGTGATGGGTTGTGTGTGGGCTCCCGGGGCACCACAGAGGGTTACCAGCTCCAGGCTTCAGTGAGAGACGTGGCCCAATGGGACCAGCGGCCGTGAGCTTGAGTTGAGCATTGACACGTGAACTGGGAGTGAGCCAGGGGAAGCGAGTGTGGAAGGGAGGTGCCGACGGGAAGGGCAAAGATCCCAAGTCATGGGAGAGCAGGATGGGGGTTGAGAGACTTGGGATGGGTGTGGCTGAGAAGTTCATTCTTGAGTCAAGGGGTCCTGAGGGGAAGACTAGGCAGGGGACCCCCCGTTCTCAGGTCGGCCCTGGGGACCTGTCCCCCTGGAACAGCATGGAGGGGGGATGTGGCACCAGTGAGGAGGTGAAGGGAACAGGAGGCCGGCTTGGACAGGAGAGAAACGCAGGAGGACAGACTCGGGTGCATAGGTGGATATGGGGGTGGGGGGGAGGGGAGAAGTGGGGGACGACTCCTGGCCTCTGGTTTGTGGCTGAGAGGACGATGGTGCCAGCACTGAGCCACTAGGGGAGGGGTCTGTTTGGAAGCAGAGGAAGACAGGGTGAGACTGTCACTCGACTTAGGCCAGCTGCTCATATAATCGCCTTATCTTTAGCAGACGCTGAGTCCTTTAGGGCAGAGACTGTGTCTTGCCCATCTTTGTACCCCCTTAATTCCTTCCTAATGGAAAGCCTGGCACACAGTACGTTCTCAATTCAAATGAGTAAGTTGAAGAAGGGAAAGACCCTTTAAAACCAAAACAAATGGTTCAGCTACACACCTACAAGTTGTTAGACAACCCAGGTATCTGGAAAGCCCCGCAAAATGCATGCTGTATATCCAAGGTTCTACGGGATGTTGGAAAGAAAAACGGTCCCGAAGCCTCAGTACAGTAGCAGAGCGTCTGCGACCCAATGTCTTCAACTCTGGGCCCACAGCCACCTGGGCGGGACAGCACAGGCCCTGAATTGTTCTGGCTCTTCTCTGAGCACCGTTGGGCCCTCTTAGTGTGCTGCTCCTCTCTTTGAGATGCACAGGGTCTTAGAAGCATGCAGCTGTTCTTCTGGTTGGTTGTGAAACGTCAGGATGGGCACGTTGCATCCTCTTGAAATGTCAAGCTCATGGAAGATTCTGAAAAAAATCTTTTGTGTTTGTTTCAAACCCAATATGATTAGATTATGGAGTGCATGTGAAGTGTGTATGTATCTTGAAGGTAGGACATAAGTTACCAAAGAAATTGTTTCGAGGTGCAGGCCATTATGGACTCATCAGTGGGAAGGTTTGAGAATCGTGGTGTGAGATGATAACAAGGCCACCTCTGTGCTTGCTGCTAACTGGGGGTCTCCATGGTTTTCTCTGCTCAGGTTACGGGATCTCTCCTCGAGGAGACAACTCGGAAGTGGGCTCAGTACAAAGAGAAGTGTCTGAGAGACTTACTCAAGGAAACTTCTGGTAAGTACATGTATCAGTTATCTATGGCTGTATAACAAATAGCCCCAAAGCTTAGTGGCTTAAAACGGTAATAACAATGATTTATTATCTCTCACAGTTTCTGTGGGTCAGGAATTCAGACAGAGCACACTGAAGATGGCTTGTGTCAGCTCTACAATATCTGGAGTTTAGCTGGAAGACTCAAAGGCCAGGGGTTGGATTCATCTGAAGCCTGGTTCACATCCATGTGTGCTGGTGGATGCTGGGAACCAAGCTGGGGCTGTTGGCCGGAACACTTCCATGTGGTCTCTCCATATGGCCTGGGCTTCCTCACAGCACGGTGGCTGGGTTGCAAGGACAAGCATGACCAGAGGCCACGTTGCCTTTTGTGACCTTGCCTTGGAAGTCACTTCTGCCATGTTCAGTTGGGTCAGACAGTTAGAAAGGCTACCTGCCTCCATTGTAAAAGAGCATGCGAGATGGGATGTATATGCGTGTGGCCATCTTAGATAAAAGCCATCTGTCACAGCATGCTGACCACCTAATCACATGACATGAGCCGCTGTTGTAGATTAACCCAGGAATCTACTGTGTGTTGAGGGGGGTGTCCTTCCGTCTCCTGTGCTGTTAACACTTCTCTTATCCCGGTCTACATTAGGTTTAGAGCATTCTAGCTAATATGTTAATAGTTTGGTCAGCCCACAACCTCTCCTGCCTACATGCTGACTCTTTGGGTACATGCAAATTCTTTTTTTTTTTTTTACAGAAAAGAAAGGAATAAGGAGCCTTGGCCCACTGCCTCTGAGACTGGGGACTGTGGGTGAAAGCTACCTCCTCCTTGTTCTCCTGGCTTCTTTCAGATCATTTCATTCAGGGACCTGGAGGTTGACAGGACACTATAAACTCTCTCTGCCTTTTCCTGACCTGAAGGCAGTCCCAGCCTCCAAGCTATGCCCCCCTCCCTCCTTCAGCCAGGTGGGCGGCCACCAAGGCTTGATTCATTGCAGGAACCACTCCCACCTAGAGGAATATTGCTTTCTGAGGTCAAAGTAGGGCAGGTCCTCCTGATCAGGTGCCACGCTTTGGGCAGCTCAGCCAGGTGAGCGCCCACACACTGGGTGCTGACACCTGGCCACCAGGTCCATAGGGTGCCCCGAGCCAGCCCAGAACCCAGCAGATCTGCGTTTGCAGGGTCCCGATACCAGCAACCTGGCTCTTCACCCTGAGTGGCCCCCAAGTTCTAGCTTAATAGGGAGCCAATGGTAGGAAATGATGCTTGGTAACCAGGAGTGAGGAGCTTGCAATGCGGATGTTTGGGGTCCAGCCTGAAACCCCTCATTTGACTCTGGGGGCCCATAAGGGTGGGGCTAATGTTTGTAGTATCTCATTGCCAAGTGCCAGGATGTAAATCATACCCTGAGCTTGAGGTGCCCAAATATTTCATAATGATCATTGGATTAATCTTCAAACAGAGAAATCCGACCAGGTTGTGCTTGTGTCAGGTACACATGACCAAGAACCTGGATCCTGCAAATCCCCTTATATCCACTGGTCATTTTGCACATTTCATATTAAGGGTGTTCCGGGATCTAACTGGTGAAGGTTTGACAATTATTTAGTTAATTATGGGACAGAAGATGCTGGCTGAACATCCAAGTGTCCTCCTGACCCTGAGTTTCTGTGAGAGTTCAGCTCATGTAAAGTAAACCAAAATCAGTGTGACGTGCACATTGACATAAAAGACTGGACCACCGCCAGGGGTCAAGTTGGGTAGACAGAGCCCCAGTGTGGGGCTGCATGAAGCATTCCCGTCCTCTCCACGTGGTTCCTCATCCTTGACCTGTCTGGAGAGTGCGACACCCCTTGCTGGTCCCTGTGCAGCCTACACCAGCTTCTGATGCCAGGGAGGTGGGTTCTGGGCTCCATCAGTTTATTTTGTCCTCTTCTTTCCGCAGGCGCAGTTTGTAACGGGACCTTTGATCAGTATGTGTGCTGGCCTCATTCCACTGCAGGAAATGTCTCTGTTCCCTGCCCTTCATACTTACCTTGGTGGCGCAAAGGTAATAAGTCTTATTTTACCAATTTCTAACATTTCCTTTATGGCCGGTCCATCCTGGGCAGCCCAGCCAAGGGGTGGTTAGAAGGCTCCAACCAGGTTCTTTTCTCCAGCCCGCTTCTCCCACGAAAGGTCTCCTTCTAAGCTGTCAGTAACACATCTTCCTTCAGTAACACATCTTCCTTTTCCTCTCTGCTTCTTCTCTTTTCTTCCTGCAAGTCTTCTGTGTCTGGAGGTTCTGTTTATATCAGAGTCCTCTTTTCTTTGAAGAGCTGAGAGTCCAAGTCTGGCTACCACAGACTTTGCTGCAGTGAGAGTAAGAGTTATCACCGTCATGGAGAGGAGAAAGAGATGTGGGGCAAGACGGGGATGCTCACATCCATGCAGTTCTTGCTTCCCAGATGGAGAGGAAGGCCATCAAGACTACCCCTGCAGGGGCTTCCCTGGTGGCGCAGTGGTTGAGAGTCCGCCTGCCGATGCAGGGGACGTGGGTTCGTGCCCCGGTCCGGGAGGATCCCACATGCCGCGGAGCGGCTGGGCCCGTGAGCCATGGCCACTGAGCCTGTGCGTCGGGAGAGGCCACAACAGTGAGAGGCCTGCGAACCGCAAAAAAAAAAAAAAAAAAAAAGACTACCCTTGCAATAGCGTTGAGAGGAATTGGTGCTTTTCAGCCCCATGGGACTTGGATGGAGAATTTTACCCTTAGCTTGCCCTGAAGTGACCATGACTTAGAACCCACCTCCACCTGCCCCAGCAGCCCAGCCTCCTGGTTGGGAGTGAAACCAGGGTGGGGAGTGAAACAATTCAAATCTAAGAACGGGCCGCTATTCTCAAGGAACATCAGTGATTACAAAGTTCCAGGCCAAACAAAATGAGAATGGCTTTCTTGCTTTCTTTCTTTCTTTTTGGCCACACTGCACCTTGCAGGATCTTAGTTCCCCGACCAGGGATCAAACCCAGGGCCTCAGCAGTGAGAGCATGGAGTCCTAACCACTGGACTGCCAGGGAATTCCTGAGACTGGGTTTCTGAGAAGCCAAGATGGTGATATTTTGTACTTAATTTCAGCCCAAGAAATCATCACATCAGTTAAAATTTGGTTTCAATATTTTGATGCCTCCAGTACAAAGAGAATTTCGAAGGAAGATGCATTTCTGGATGGGAGCAGTAGTGGCGTATTCTATGGAACTGTCATCTGGGGGAAATTCAGTGGGGATCAGCCCAGAAGGCCTGAGGATGTGAAGCTGAAGGGAAGATACTGGAGAGTTTGCTGGACCAGCGGGGTCAGTTCAGTGGGGAGGAAAGAGCTTGCTCAAGTCAGGAGCCCTAAGGGAGGACTTTATACTCTGAGACTCTGGGAAAGTTCCCAGCGCCCTCTAAGCTGTGGTTTCCTTGTAAAGTGAAGTGAATAACAGCCGATTCTTAAGGGCATTTTGAGGCATGAATGGGAAGGCGCACATTGGGTCCACCACACAGTAGGTGCTTCGTAAGTGGGAGCTGAGGCCGAGCCCCACTAAGGTCACACTCCTTGGATTCCTTCAGGGCTTTAAGGACCTGAAAGTCTGCGACTCCTTGAGCGCACATGGAACGGATCAGCATCGCCCAGCTCTACGGTCTACCTGTTCCTTCCCAAGAGCTAAAAACACAGGTCGATTCCGCTTTAAGAGAAAAAGTGATCAAAAATCCAAACTTACAAAGAAGTTGAGTTAAAGGCCTTTTAAAAAAAATTTGGGTCCTGGGCTGCTGAAATGTACTCAAGGGAGTGTGAGTCCCAAAAGGTAGGAAGTTACTCTTCCCCTCGACACTGTGTGCATCGAATGTTTAGAATCCAAGTGGGGCGCCTGACGTCAAAGGAGGACGTGGCACCAGTGGAGGGGTTTGGAGAAGAAAAGATGGAGCAGAGCTCCTGTGGATGAGATTAGAGGAGCAGGAGCATTCGAATATGAGAAGGGAGAGGGTGTACAGGCACAGAAGCCTGAGCACGAGGCTGGGGCCTGATCGCGAAGCCAACCGTGCTTTACGCTCCAGGCTTTAAACTCCCCTCTGTAGATAAAGGTTACGTGGAGCCAGAGAAGGCGTTAAGGCATGAGAAGGACGTCGTAGGGTTTGTGGTTTGGGGAGATGACGTTGGTAGCCTGTGGTCGATGAACTGAGGGATGGAGGGGGATCGGGGAGGTGAGTTCGGAAGCTCCTGCAGTGGTCCAGAAAAAGAGAGGCTATGAGGATGTGTATACAGGCAGAGGCAAGAGCTTGGGAAGAAGAAGAAAGAGTAAAGAAAAATATTGGAGGTAGAATAGTCAAGACTTGTCATCAGAGGCAGGAATGGAGGGACAGAGAGGGGTAAGGCCCTGCTCAAGGCCACAGAGCTCATAGGTGGCAGAGCTGGCTCGGTCCAGCGCCCTCTCTTCTTCATGGCACGGCCTCCTGGGCATCAGGAAGCCCCAGGTCTGCGTCTCCCAGCTGGGCCACACCTTGGAGGGCTGTCACATCTCTGAGTCACCAGGGACCGTTCCAGCTCCAGGGACTTTGGGTAAACACAGCAGACATTAACAGAACATGGTTTGTTATGAGATGGTTGTAGAGGCTTCCGTGTTTTTCTTTCCATCCTAAATAAACAGCAAGGATGCTGTGAGCCCCCAGAAGGGGAAGTGAAAATTCCTTTTCCCTGGGATTTTCCACAGCTTTGCGGTGAGGATGAGGGCCTTCCCACGTGCTCGGGGAACGGGCTGCGTGTTCTGACCTTTCCCCCAGAGCTGTGTTTACTTTCAGAGCACTCAGGAAGGGCCTACAGATACTGCCTTTCTCAGGGCACTTGGCAGACGCTGGAGAACTCCACAGATATTTGGCAGGACAACTCCGAATGCGCTGAGGACCACAGCTTCAAACAAAAAGTGAGTCAGCTGGGCTCGGTGAGGACGGGCCCTGGGGCCCGAACCAACCTCTGCCGGGGTCCCCGCAATAGGGGCCGCACAAAGAGCCTGCTTCCAGTGCACCTGCCCCAGACTCACCTGGGAAGGTCCTCCGTCACCCAAAACAGCAACCCGGACGGCAGCCACAGAATCTCTTCTGCTGCTGGGATGAGATGTGAACCTCCCAGGGAAGGCGCCCCAGCCTCTGTGCTTGCCGTTCCGTCCGCCTGGAACACTTTCCCCAGCTCTTCTGTGGCGCCTCCTTCCCATTAGTCACGTTTCAAGCTCAACGTCTCCTTCCAGGTGAAGTCTTCCAAGGCCACCCCATGGAGAACGGTCTCCATGGTCACTTTCTACCACTCCCCCCAGCCTTTACAGCACCTGTCACTCTCTGAAATTCTCTGGCATCCACCCCCTCCTAGAATGTAGACTTGGTGGTGGCAGGAGACAGTGTGTCCTGAGGGACACACACCTAGCAGCCGGGGTACAAGCTCAAGGCCAAGGGCCTGGCAGCCCGACTCACGTCCAGAGTCTTTGCTCCCTCGCTCCTTATACCCCACCCTTCACTGCTCTGTGCCTCTGCTTCCCCGTCCATCCCCAGCAGAGTGTATTTATTGCATGTACCGTGTGAGGGTTGAAAGAGTTGATAGACATACAGTTCTCTGGAGAGAGCCTGACCCCTCGTCACCACGACGTAAATAAGAGTGCTGGCTCCATCCCCAGGATCCAGCCTGTTCGCTGGGCAGTAAATCGTCATATCGTGTCTGTGGTTCCTTCCCAGTGGGAACTGGCCCATCCTTGGCTCTCTTGTCTATCACATCTTCCCATCAGGCATGAAGAACCTTCCATCAGATCCTCTACCTCCTCAGGGAACTTTTTCTCAACCTCTTTTTAACTTTATTCCTTGAGTTGGCAGAAGTCCGTGTTCCCTAGACCCTGTGACAGGTCACACCTCTTAAAGGTATTAAAATCATACCTGTGGTTGGGTTGGGTTCAGCTTATCTCAAGGATGTGTCTTGACGTTTCTCACAGCGCCAAACTCATGCTAACTGCATGCCGTGAACTGGGCACTTTGTTTATATTTCTTATCTTCCCTCCTGGATGAAGCTGCTTGAGAACAATGACAAAGTCAGAGTTATATCAGAATACATGTCACCCCCTGGCCCAGTGCTACTAAAAGTGCACAGAAGCCTTTACATACAGTGGGCACCTAGGAAATATTGAATGAACGGTTTCACAGATTCTGAGTCAGTGGGCGTGCGGTGGGGGTCTAGGTGTCAGTACTGGTGGGAAAGCTCCCCAGGTGACTCTGAAGAGACTGCAAACAGAGGTGGTGACAACGAATTCACCAGCAGGTGTGAGGCGCCTGCTGCTTGCTCTGGGCTGAGGTCTGCCGACAGGGACAGCAAAGCAAGATGGGAAAACTGCACTTTCCAAGACAGGAAGTAAAGTTTTCTCTTTTTAGAGCAGTGAGGACACGGGCATTGCCTCCCCCTCTCTGCAAATGGCCATATTTCCAAGAAATCAAATACTTAAAAAAAAAGTTTCTGGCCATGTTTACCTGTGTTTCTAGTAGAGGGTTGAATTTTTGCCCAAAAAAGGCTAGTGTTAGTAAATCTATGCCCTTTGGAGTTTTGGCAAACAAGATATGTTATGTTCTTCCAACTGACAGCTCACTGGGGGTCCTTATGCATGTTAACTGGTGCTTTTTTAAGGAGATTGTGTATGTGTGTGTGTGTGTGTGTGTGTCTCTGTCTCTCAAAATTGTACACACTACGTCTTTTCCGTCTTCACTGTGCGCTCATGCACTGTGGCCGTAACTTTTGCAGTTTAAAGTGTGACAGCAAGAGTAGCACGATTCTCTAAAATTTCACTGATAGCAGATTGGTTCTTACTGTAGATCTTAGCAACCTCAGCATATGATTTTTTTTTCTTTCCTTATTAACTCGAGAGCTTTCATCTTTTCACTTAAAGGAAGCACTTTGTGGCTTCTCTTTGGCACATCCGAACTGCCAGCATCACTACTCTTTGGGGCCATTATTAAGTAAAATAAGGGTCACTTGAACACAAGCACTGCTGTACCAAGAAAGTCTAGCTAATAACCAAGAGGGGTACTAAGTGACTAACGGGCAGGATATGCTGGACAGAGGGATGATTCGTGGCTCAGGAAGGACAGAGCAGGGCAGTGTGAGATTTCACCACGCTACTCAGGATGGCTAACAATTTAAAATTCATGAATTGTTCATTTTTGAAATTTTCCCTTTAATATTTTTGGATCGAAGGTTGACAGCAGGTAACTGAAACCACAGAGAGCAAAACTGCAGATAATGGGAAATGACTGTAAAAGAAAAAGTTGATAAATTGGACTTTATGAAAATTAAAAAAACTTATGCTCTTTTAAAGGCACTGTTAAAAAAATTAAAAGGCAAGCCACAAAATGAGAGAAAATACTGGCAGAACATGTATCTAACAGATTTATATCTAGAATATATAAAGAAGATTTACAATTCAAAATTAAGACCAACAATCCAATTTAAAAGACGGCCAAGGGCTTCCCTGGTGGCGCAGTGGTTGAGAGTCCGCCTGCCGATGCAGGGGACACGGGTTCGTGCCCCGGTCCGGGAAGATCCCACATGCCATGGAGCAGCTGGGCCCGTGAGCCATGGCCGCTGAGCCTGCGCGTCCGGAGCCTGTGCTCCACAACGGGAGAGGCTGCAACAGTGAGAGGCCCGCATACCGCAAAAAAAAAAAAAAAAAAGACGGCCAAATATTTGAACAGATACTGTACTAAACAAAATGTACAGACGGCAAATAAGCACGCGGAGTGATTCTCAAATCATTAATCATTAGAGAAATGCAAATAAAGCCACCATAAGATACTGCTACACACCCATTAGAATGATTAAAATTTAAAAGACTGATCGTAGGAAATGGTCGTAGACCCTCAAGCAGCTGGCCCTCTGGTGGGAATGTCAATTGATACAACTTATTTAGAAAACAGTTTAGCAGTTTCTTGAGAAGTTAAAACGTACACCATGCTACCGCATCATTCTATTTCTAGCTATTTATCTGAGAGAAGTGAAAACCCACGTCCACATAAAAACTTGTACAGAAATTCTCAGAGCAACTTTATGTGTGAGAGCCAAACTCTGAAAACAGTCCGAATGTCCATCAGTGGGTGAGTGCGTAAATAAATTGCGGTGTATTCACAATGGAATACTACTCAGCAATAAAAAAGGAGTAAACTATTAATTTTTTTTTTTTTTTGTAGTACGCGGGCCTCTCACTGTTGCGGCCTCTCCCGTTGAGGAGCACAGGCTCCGGACGTGCAGGCTCAGCGGCCGTGGCTCACGGGCCTAGCCGCTCCGCGGCACGTGGGATCTTCCCGGACCGGGGTACGAACCCGTGTCCCCTGCATCGGCAGGCGGACTGTCAACCACTGTACCACCAGGGAAGCCCCAAACTATTAAATTTTTAAAAATTTTAGATTTACTCTTTATTGAGTTAATATTGGTCTACAACATTATTTAAGTTTCATGTAGACAACATTCTATTGCTACTTCTGTATACCCTACAGTGTGCTCACTACCAAAAATTTACTTTCCATCCGCTGCCATATAGTTGATCCCCTTTACTCTTTTCACCACCCCCTGCCCCTCCCCCTCTGGTAACCACTACTCTGTATATACGTGTTTCTTTTTGTTTGGTTTGATCATTTATTTTGTTTTTTGTTTTTGTTCATTTTTTTATATTCCACGTATGAGTGAAATCATACAGTATTTGTCTGTCTCTGTCTGACTTATTTCACTCACCATAATACCCTCAAGGTTCCTCCATGTTTTTGCAAATGGCAAGATTTCATCTTCTTTATGGCCGAGTAGTATCCTTGTATATATTTACCATACCTTCTTTAGCCACTCAACTGTTGCTGGGCACTTAGGGTGTTTCCATATCTTGGCTGTTGTAAGTAATGAACATAAGAGTGTATGTATCTTTTTGAATTAGTGTTTTTGTATTCTTTGGATAAATATCAAGAAGTGGGATAGCTGGATCAAATGGTAGCTCTAGTCTTAATTTTTGGAAGGAATCTCCATACTGTTTTCCATAGTGGGTGCACCAGTTTGCATTCCCATCGACAGTGTAGGAGGGCTTGCTTTTCTCCACATTCTCACCAACACTTGTTATTTCTTGCCTTTTTGATAATAGCCAAGGAATGAACTATTGGTACATGCTATGACATGGATGAATCTCTAACTAATTATTCTGAGGGAAATAAGCCTGACAAAAAATAGAATACTTATAAGATTCCATTTATATAACATTTTAGAAAATGCAAACTACCCTCTAAAGGCAAGGGATAGTGAGAGGGGGTGAATTACGAAGGGTCACAAGGAAACTTTCGGGAGGTGATGGAAATGTTCATGATCTTGAATGTGGTGATGAAATCACAGATATATTCATGTCCAAATTCACCAAGGTTTATACTTTAAATATGTGCAGCTTATTGTCCCCCAATTATACTTCAGTGAAGCTGATGAAAGAGTTATGCAGAGAAGTTTAGGCATAACCTAGCAGGTGATACGTATTTACTGTGGGTTCTTGTGCAAAAATTTATCCAGAAACATAATCTTGATGGCTGTATGCACAGTGGATGGAGTGAGAAGATGGGATTTCCTTTGGAAAATCACACTTAATAACAGAATTGCCAGTAAACTAACCTCTGTTCGCAATCAGGGTATCCTGGGACTCAGGGAAAATATTCCAGTGTTTAAGTGGGTCTTTGTTAAAGAGATCATCTGTGAAAAGTTACTTTAGGAAGGAGACACATCCAGATGGAAACCCGGCCCTGTCTTCCAGAGACAGGGACCCCGATGCCCTAGGGACAGCACGCTTGGGGGCAAAGAACCTGTCCTCTTGTCCTGGGCACAATGCTCTTATGATATCGTGAATCTCAGTGCATCACTCCTGGGCAGTGGGACCAGCCATGGAGGTGAGACCCCCAGTGGGCTCTTCACTCATGAAGGTTCCTCGAACTCTGAGATGTGTCAGAGAGCTGTGGTATAAACAGGTCTACTAGGGTTCGGGGCATGGAGAGGGGGCTGGACGCCATAGCTGCCTGGCTTGGCGGTCACACCCGCTCTTTCTCTGCGTTCAGGTGGAACACCGCGCCTTGCTGTCGACCTTGCAGCTGTTGTACACTGTGGGCTACTCCCTCTCCATCGTCTCCCTCTTCCTGGCTCTCACCCTCCTCTTGTTTCTGCGGTGAGTGGAACTTCTGCTGTCCCGTGTGCAGACAGGTACCCAGGCATGTGCTCACTGGCTCCCTTTAGAAGGCAGGAGACTAGGCTGGATGATTTCAGGGCTCCTCAGAGCTGGACGGGATCCGAGAGAGTCTCCAGTCCATCCATCCCATTTTGTAGGCAAGGGAAAGGGATCTCAGAGGTCCAGGTCGCAAAGCACAGCTAGGACTGGAATCTGGGACTCCTAACTGCTTTTGCCTTTTGGATTAGGTGACCTCTGCCCAGCCCTGGTCTAAATTTCTAGTTACACCCATTACTACCACAGCCCCTTCTCACCACAACTCTACCAGATGCATTATTTTTATGGACGAGATTAAAAAACAAAGTAGTGAGCGGGAGAGCTGGGCTTTTAATCCAGGGCCCTCGGACTCCAATTAGCCGTCAATCATTGGAGTGCTTCATTGGTGCCAGGCACTGTTCTAAGCACGTGACGTGCATTAAGTCATTTAAGTCTCTTTGTAATCAGAATTAAGATGAATTCTAATCCTAGGAGATTAGCCTTATTATTACCCCATTTTATAAGCGAGTTAACTGCAATATGGAGAGATGACGTCACTCGCCTACCATCACACAGCTGGCAGGTGACGGAGCCAGGATCGCAACCGGGCGGTCCAGAGCCTGAGCATTTTCACTCCCTTCTACTGTGTTTCAGAATCCAACACCTGAAGGCATTTTACTAAATCACGTTTTTAGAAACGCCCCAAGTGAGATATTTATAGACCCCCTAGGGAGCCCTCCAAGGCCGTCTCCTGGTCCTGGTCCGTTCAGGAACATAACGGAGTGTAATGTGGCAGAATGAGCGTTCGAGGCAGATGCGGCGGCCTGGATGGGGACCCTGGAGACCTGGATGCTAATTCCAGAGCAGCTCCCACCTGGGCTCTGCGAGGCCCAGGGCTGGCCCCACCTGACCCCTCAATCCCATGATGCTCTTGAGGCCCTAGAGCAGAGAGCGGAGTCATGACCAGTTACCCCGCTCGGAGAACAATTACTGAACAAGGGGAGAGAATTCCACGGCCTGTGCCCACTGCTATCTGTGACCTCCTCCACTCACCTTCCCAAAGTCCCAGAACCAGGCCAGGAGAAAATAACTTCCTGGCCCTGGAGGAAGTAACTTTAGCGGAGCCTGGGTTGACCACGTGCCCATTTTGTCTCTGGCTTTGGGGATGCATAGATAGTAAAACACAAGGACCTGCTCAGATCTTTTTGGAAACTAAAAAAGTAATGATAGCTCTAAGCAAGGCAGGACTGGACGGACATAGGCTGCACAGGGGCATAGGCAGGGCTGTGAGAGCACAGTGCTGGAGAAGGGTCCTTTCGCGAGAGAGACCGAGGATGCAGAGTTTTACATCAGCCGGCACAGGAGGCTCCAGCTGGGTGAGGGAGGTCATGAGAGCTCTTAAGTGCCAGGTACTGTGTGAGCACTTTTCACCCATTAACTGATTGAATCCTCCTGTAGCCCTTTGTGGTGAGTGCCCTTGTTCTTACAGGGAGTAGAGTCTCGAGAGCCATATACTGACCTCAGAGTTTCTGGGTCTAAATCTCAGCTCTGCCACTTACTGCTCTGGGACTTTGGACTTAAGCTTTCTGCCTCAGTTCCCCCGTTTGTAATGTCGGGAGCTGTGAGGAATAAGGATACCCGTAAGTACCCACAGGCAAGTAGCTTGGAACATAGCCTGGCATGTTGAGCATTCTATAGATGATAGCTGTGATTTTCTCCATCTTACACATGAGGAAAATGAGGCACAGAGAGGAAAGATCCTTTAAGCCAGCTATCCGGCTCTGGAGACTACACTCGGAACCTGTGCCCTTCAGTGGCAGATACGCAGGTTTCAGGCACACACCTGTCGGTCTGAGCCGTTCTTTTCTGAGGGAAGACACTCGGTTTTCTCCTTGCACAGAAAACTCCACTGCACACGCAACTATATCCACATGAACTTGTTTGCCTCTTTCATCCTGAGAGCCCTGGCTGTGCTGGTGAAAGACGTCATCTTCTACAACTCTTACTCTAAGAGGCCCGACAGTGAGAAACAGTGGATGTCCTACGTGTCAGAGGTATGTCCTTCCTTACCGTCGGCCTCGACCTGGTGGATCAATACTGGAACTGCAAGAAGGTGAGGCTGGGCAGGAGAAGAGAGAGAGAAAGCGGTGTCAGTCTCTCTGGTTAGAGATGCATCAGCTAACTTAAAAAAAATTCAACCTCCCGAGAATGGGGCCGGTAAAGGAAATCAGTAGCAGCAAATGTCACCGAGAGGCTGCGTTATACCCAATGGGTGGAAAATCTCTTCACCTGTAGACAAAAGAAATGGACCAGATCAACCTTTTAAAATTATTACTGTGTTTCACGGCAGTAAAGCTTTTCTACATCTGTTGAGATGGTTTTTCCTTTATCCTGTTAATAATGAATGCAGTAACCTCTCAAACTACCTTGCACTCCTGGAAGAAATCCAGCTAGGTCCTCATATAGTAATCTCTCTCCCCTCCTGCTGGACTGTTTGCTTAACACTGTGTTTTGTTTAGCAGTTCCTCATCTACATTCAGGAGTAATTTTCTTTTCTTATACAGGCATGCCCTGCAGATACTGTGGTTTGGTTCCGGACCACTATAGTGAAGCAAATATCGCAATAAGGCAACTCACATGAATGTTTCGGTTTCCCAGTGCATATAAAAGTTATGCGTACACTATACTATATAGTCTGTTAAGTGTGCAATAGCATTGTGTCTAAAAACATAATGCACATCCCTTAATTTAAAAATACTTCATTGCTAAAAAATGCTAACCATCATCTGACAACATGGGGTTGCCACAAACCTTCAGTTTGTAAAAAACACAGTATCTGAGCAGTCCAGTAAGGCAGAGTACAATACACGAGGTATGTTTGTACTGCCTTTATCAGCATAAAGTTTCTGCTGACTTCTCAAGACAAATGATCTCTTTCTCACTTCTCTGGAAGAATTTGTTTAAGATCGGTATTATTTCTTCCTTAAATGTTAGATTGATTACCCTAGTGAAGCCATTTGGGCCCAGAGTTTTCTTTATTGCAAGGCTTTTAATTATGGATTAATTAGGACTATTACATTCAGATTTTCTGTTTCTTCTGGTGTCAGCTGGAGTAATGTGTTTCTCTAGGAATTTGTCTACTTCATTTAGCTTTTCAAATTTATTGACATATTGTTTATATTCCCTTAAGATCTTTTTAAGGTCTGTTACATCTATCGTGGTATTCCTTTTTTCATTCCTGATACTGATTATTTGTACCCTCACTCGCTTTTCTGCCCCTTGATAATCCTTGCTAAAGTTTCTCAATTTTATTGGACTTTTCAAAGAACGAACTTTTGGCATTGTTGATTCTCTTTATGTCCTCTATTTCATTGATTTCTGCTATTATCTTTATTATTTCCTCCCACGTACTTTCTTTGGCTTTATTTTGCTGTTCTTTTTCTAACATTTTTGACATATTTAAGGTAAGTCACTTTCAGCCTTTTTCTTTCTTAATAAATGCACTTGAGTTGGTAAATTTCATTCTAGTTGTAAAATTCATCCTAGCTGCCTGCCCCAAGTTTTGATATGCAGTATTCTCCATACATTCAGTTCAGGAATAATTTCTAATTTCTATTATCATTTCTTCTTTGATTCATGAATTATTTAGAAGTCTGTGTCCTCATTTCTAGTCATATGAAAAATTTTAAATTATTGATACCTTGCTTAATTGAACTGAGATCAGAAGACATACCTTTCAGTGCCTTCTTTTTAAACTTTTTTTTTTTAACATCTTTATTGGAGTATAATTGCTTTACAATGGTGTGTTCGTTTCTTCTTTATAACAAAGTGAATCAGCTATACGTATACACATATCCCCATATCCCCTCCCTCTTGCGTCTGCCTCCCACCCTCCCTGTCCCACCCCTCTAGGTGGTCACAAAGCACCGAGCTGATCTCCCTGTGCTATGCGGCTGCTTCCCACTAGCTATCTATTTTACGTTTGGTAGTGTCTATATGTCCATGCCACTCTCTCACGACATCCCAGCTTACCCTTCCTGCTCCCCATGTCCTCAAGTCCATGCTCTAGTAAGTCTGTGTCTTTATTCCCGTCTTACCCCTAGGTACTTCATGACCTTTCTTTTTTTTTCTTAGATTCCATACATATGTATTTGTTTTTCTCTTTCTGACTTACTTCACTCTTTTTTTAACGTTTAAAAAGTTTTTTCAGTGCTTTCTTTATGGAAATTGCTGATGATGAATTCTACTTGTCTTTGTCTAAAAATATCTTGGATGTCAAGAAGCTGGGCTTTAAAACCTACATGAAGCCCCCATATTTTTATATTATTGCCAACCTCTCTGAGATGGTCAGCAAGGGTTTGGGAGAGAGGGGAGCTCAGAGGGAGGGGCTGTGCATGTGGAGGCGCTTCTCCACCCTGGTGGGGTCGAGATGCTGAGGGAGCCTGGACTCACCCCCATGTGCTCTGTCCTCTGCAGGTGTCCACTTCCTGCCGCTCGGCCCAGGTTCTCCTGCACTACTTCGTGGGTGCCAATTACTCATGGCTGCTGGTTGAAGGCCTTTACCTCCACACGCTCCTGGAGCCCATAGTGCTTTCGGAAAGAAGGCTGTGGCCCAGATACCTGCTGGTGGGTTGGGGTGAGTGACCTGAACCCCCAGCCTCTTCTCCTGGGGACCTATCAGAACGTGGGAGCCCAATAGAGCTTTTGGTTGGAGATAGGGGCCAACTGGAGCGAGGTTTCTGGGACAGATAACCTCTCAATCACAAGAGACTCTGAAAAGAGGGGTGTGTGTGTGTGAGTGTGCACGCACTCCCATGCACATGTGTACATGCATGTAGACATAAGTGCTGTAGACCCGATGCACACATTCGAAACTTGGGAAGGTTTTGGTAGAATCAGATGACATTCCTCCTACCCTGTCCCCAGCTGTATTCATCTACTAGGGCTGCCATAACAAAATACCATAGTCTCTGTGGCTTGAAACACAGATATTTATTTCTGGAGGCTGGGAACTGTGAGATCACAGTGCCAGGATGGTTGAGTCCTGATGAAGGTCCTCTTCCTGGCTTGCAGACAGCTGTCTTCTTGCTGTAGCCTCACATCACGGTGGGGGGAGAGAGAGCGAGAGAGAGAGAAAGAGAGCTCTCTGGTCTCCTCTTATATGGACACGAATCCTATCACGATGACCACCCCTACTACACACACCTCATCTAAACCTGATTACCTCCAAAGGTCTCGTCTCCAAATGTCATCACGTTGGGGGTTAGGGCTTCAACATATGAATTTGGAGGGGATACAAACATTCAGTCCACGCGCCAACTAAGTCTCCAAGATGAGGTCTGGAACCCCTGTTGCCACAAACCCTTGGGGACGTTGAGGCTGCGGCATTCAGAGGGCATAACTTTGGCCGGTGATTCAGGAGGTTTGATAGTTGTCTTTGGATTTACTCTAAGCTGCTCTGTGACATGTGGCAAATCTGTCCTCCTCTCTGCTTCCTGGTTTCTCAAACAGTCAATGGCCCTGTGCCCCTGTAGGCCTCTCCAGCTGTCACAGTCCACAGCTCTATGATGTTTGGGTTTGTATAAGTTTCAACCAGTTGTGCTTGGCCCATCGGGGTAGTGTAGGCAGTAGGCAAGTTTGGTCAGCCAGCCCTTGACTCCATTTCCGTGTTTTCTCCCAGCTTTCCCGGTGCTCTTCGTTGTACCCTGGAGCATTGCCCGTGCTCAGCTGGAGAACACAGGGTAGGTAATTCACCTCTTTTTACATTTCCGTGAGCTAGCCGTTCCCAGATAGGCCCCAATATAAGGAAATATACTATTTTCCCAAAGAGAATATCCACTCCCTTCCATTTTGGCCATCCAGGATACACTTAAGTATGTAGATAAAAGAATCAAATACCTTTCTTGTAGAAATTAGTCTATTAATTTAGTTACACATGCAGATAAACACAAAATTAGCACAAATCAGTACAAAAATTGGCTGCTTAGGTTAGCAGCGACCCCTGGGTATATACAAATATAGGTACAAGAATGCTTATTGCATTCACAGTGGGGGAAAAAAGGCAAAACCAATCAAAAAAAAAAAAACCCTGAACATCCATCAATAGGGGAATCATCAAACAAATTGTGGCATACCTATATAGTGGACTACTATAAAGCTACTGAAAAAACAAGTTAGTCCTGTACCTTTTAGTTTTTAGGGACTAAACCTCAACAGCGTGTCGTTAACCTTGCTGCTGAATAATGTGTGTCAGTGATTCCATTTTTTTCCCTCCAAATAGTTACCACCAAAAATCCCCTACACAGACATACCTTGGAGATATTGTGGGTTCAGTTCAGGCCACCACAATCAAGTGAATATCTCAACAAAGCGAGTCACGTGAATGTTTTGGTTTCCCAGTACATATGAAAGCTATGTTTACACTATACTGTGTATTTGTTAACTATTTGTTAAATAGTAAGACTTGAAAGTAGCAATTACTCCTTGATCCATGGGCTACTGTATACTATTAAGTGTGCGGTAGCATTATGTCTTAAAAAAAAAATCTCGATTAAAAATACTTTATTGCTACACCAGGCAATTCCCAAGACTTCTGTTTTAAATGACTTTTTTTCCCACTCTAATTCATTCCTGGGATCAGTTTCACGTTTGAACATTAAACCAACCTTGCATTACTAGAATAAAGCTACTTCGATTGTGATATACGATTGTTTTCCATACCGTGGATACAGTTTGTGCTTCTGTTTACACATTTTGCATGCATGTTCAAAAGAGAAACTGGTCTGTGATTTTATTCTTGTCATATTCTTTTTAGTTTTGATCTGAAGCTTATGTTGGCCTTATAAATATTTTGAGCAATATATACTTTTCTGTTTCCTGGAAGATTTTTATGTAAGATTACCAATATTTCTTCCCTAAATATTTGGAAGAATTTACTTGGAAAGCCATGTATCCCTGGAAATCATTTTCTGTAAAGGTACTTAATTATACAAACAACTTTTGGAGTAGATATAGGTTTTTTAGACATGTTTTCTTTCTTGGGTTAGTCTTGTTAGCTTGCATTTTTTTAAGAATTTGTCATTTTGGATGAATTTTCAAATGGATAAATATAAAATTATCGTAATTTTAACAGCAAAAAAAAAATACTTTATTGCTAAAAAAATGCTAACCATCATCTGAGGCTTCAGTGAGTCATAATCTTGCTGCTGGTGGAGGGTCTGGATGGCAGCTGACTGATCAGAGTGGTGGTTGCTGTAGGTTGGAGTGTCTGTAGCAGTTTCTTAAAATAGGACAAAATGATGACGTTCGCCACATCTGTTTTTCCTTTTATGAACGATTTCTCTGTAGCATGCACGCTCTATGATAGCATCTTATCCACAGAAGAACTTCTTTCAAGATTGGAGTCAATCCTTTCAAACCCTGCTGCTGCTTTATCAGCTTATTTTATGTAATATTCTAAATCCTTTGTTGTCTTTCCAACAATCTTTACAACATCTTCACCAGGAGTAGATTCCATCTCAAAAAACCACTTCCTTTGCTCCATCCATAAGAAGCAAAACTCCTCATCGGTTTGGTTTTATGATGAGATGGCAGCAATTCAGTCACACCTTCAGGATCCACTTCTAATTCTAGCTCTTTTGCTATTCCCACCACATTTGCAGTTAGTTCATCCATTGAAGTCTTGAACCCCTCAAGGTCATCCATCAGGGTTGGAATCAACTTCTTCCACAGTCCTGTTCATGTTTCTTTTTGACCTCTTCCCATGAATCATGAGTGTTCTCAATAGCGTCTAGAATGGTGAATCTTTTCCTGAAGGTTTTCAACTTACTTTACCCAGATCCATCAGAGGAGTCAGCATCTAAGGCAGCTATAGCCTTACAAAATGTATTTGTTAGATAGTAAGACTTGAAAGTAACAATTACTCCTTGATCCATGGGCTACAGAATGAATGTTGTGTTAGCAGGCATGAAAACAACGTTAATTTCATTGTCCGTCTCCATCAGAGCTCTTGGGTCACCAGTGCATTGTCAATGAGCAGTCATGTTTTTGAAAGGAATCTTTTTTTTTCTGAGCAGTTGCTCCCAGCAGTGAGCTAAAAATATTCAAGAACTGTTTGGTGCAAGGACCGTAGCTTTCAGCCAATCTCGGCTTTCGACGTGCCTTCCTCGCTAAGCTTAATCATTTCTAACATATGATTTAAAATGAGGGATATGTGTCACTCTTCCTTTCACTTGAACACTTAGAGGCCTTTGTAGGGTTACTAATTGGCCTAATTTCAATATTTCTGTGTCTCAGGGAATTAGGGAGGCCTGAGGAGAGGGACAGAGATAGGGGAACAGCCGGTTGGTGGTGCAGTCAGAACACACACATGTATTAAGTTCACCATCTCATATGGGCACAGATCACGGCACCCCAAAACAGTTACCACAGTAACATCAAAGATCGCTGATCACAGATCGCCATAACAATTATAGTAACAATGAAAAGCTTTAAAATATTGCAAGAATTACCAAAACGTGACACAGAGACCCGAAGTGAGCAAATGCCGTTGGAAGAGAGTGCCTACAGACTTGCCCGACGCAGGGTTGCACAAACCTTCAATTTGCAAAAAACGCAATATCTGCGAAGTGCAATGAAGTGAAGCACAGTAAAATGAGGTGTGCCTGTAGAATTAAGAATTCGTGTTTGTACGAACACGGAGAAAAATGTGGAAGGCTACACACCAAGCTGTTAGCATGAAGACCACTTTCCTGGTTAAAAAAAAAAAAAAAGTCCACAGTATCAACCCAATAGGAAGGGGTTTGGGCCCTCTCTCCCCCGTCCCAAGTGAGTCTTGAGTGTGAGCCTGCTTCTTCCGAGGGTGCAGGCCCTTTACCTTCAGCCTTGTTTCGGACGTAAGTCTTCTCTTACTGCTCGCTCTTTGCCGTAGGTGCTGGGGAACCAACAGGAATAAGAATGTCTGGTGGATCATTCGGGGACCCATGCTGCTTTGTGTAACGGTGAGGACCGTCCTACCCGCTCTTTCTCCTCTCTGAGCTCAGCCGCTGTGGAGGACCCTGTCCCCTCCCCCTGCCACCCGCCAGATTCTCTGGTTCAGAATGAACCTGGGCCAGATCCCTTGAGATGGAGACGCTGAGCTGTGAGTAAGATCTGTTGAATGAGAAGAAGCAAGTGAGAAACTTCTCCTTGTTCTGGTTCAGTACCTAAACCCAGGCTTACACTCTAAGCCTCCTACTCTCTGGGTTTTCGAACTATGTAGAGAAACCCGTAATCAGCTCAGTGACCTCATGTCAGCCGGCTGTGATGTGCACAAAGCCTGGGGATGCAGGAGCCTTCGGGCGTGGACGAGCCCGGGGACAGCAAAGCTACGGGCTTGGATTTACCACCGTCAGCAGGAGGGAGGGGAGACTAAGGAAGCGTCTTTTAGAGGAGGAAAGCATGCAGTCGCTATTACCCCAAAGCTGTGATGGGGGTTCGAGTCAGGAGACGATGCTACTCTGAGACCTTGTGGAAGAAGGCCCTTTATTCCTTAAGGCCCAGAATTTGGGGGGTGCAGAGAGACGGCTCAAGCCGGAGCCCTAAAGCTCCTTTAGCTCGTAGCATGTGAGGAAGACACCTGCCAAAGAAGTTCGGGGGAGGGGCAGGGAGATAGCAGACAGTTGGAAGGATGAGCAACAAGGTCCCAGAGGAAGGCTTCCCTGGGGGCGCTAGTGGTTGAGAGTCCGCCTGCCGATGCAGGGGACACGGGTTCGTGTCCCGGTCGGGGAAGATCCCACATGCCGCGGAGCGGCTGGGCGCGTGACCCATGGCCGCTGAGCCTGCGCGTCCGGGGCCTGTGCTCCGCAACGGGAGAGGCCACGATAGTGAGAGGCCCGCGTACCGCAAAAAAAAAAGATCCCAGAGGAGGCGGGAGGTCTTCCTGCCTGGACGCAGGGCCAGCAGCCCTGGGCACCCACCAGCCAGGCACCGCCCACTCTCCTCTCCAAGGGGTTGCCGGGCATTCCGTTTTTGCCATTTTATGGAAATAACCTGGCATTTGTGGTTTCGTGAAAGCAAAAAGGCTTATTTTTAGAGAAGAATGTCAATATTTGTCAATAATTGAAGGGCACTCTCCGCCCATACCAGAGCGTTGAGTGTGCCTGGGAGAGGAAGATGTTCGTAGAAAGGGCAGGAAAACCAAGAGCGTGGAGATGCTCTAAGCGGTGGCCTGGGTGCTACTGGGGATGTCCCCTCCGGTCCTTCCACACGCAGCTGAGAGCGGATGCTCAAAATGACCTCTGACCACGCCCACTCCCAGCGCGGCCTCCTGCCCTGCCTCACCCACCCCATATCCCTCCCTTCCCCACATCCTCTCCTCTCCAGCCGCACTGCCCCGCTGCGGTCCCAGCCGCAGCTCCTGGCTGACCACCTCCGCTACAGCCGGCTGACATTTATTGAGTGCCTCCTACATACCTGCTCTTGTGAGCGCTCCGTGCGTATTAACTCATTTCATCTTCCCAACAAACCCATGAGGCAGGCGCTACTATTACGTTGCTTTTATTGGTGACGATGCTGAACACTGTCACAGAGTTACTCAGTGGGGGTCAGACCGCGGTCTGATCGGGTGACACCGGCACTTGTAACCACAGCATCGCGCAGCTGCCCCCAGATACTTATTGCCTCCAGCCCCCATGCCTGGAGGACTGTGGGCTTCTCACGCGTTAGTACCTTGCTTTGGCCCCTCCTCAGGTTGGAACCGCCTCCCTCCGCCATCTCATCCACCTGGCCACTCTACCTGGACACCCACCCCACAAAGTAGAGATGGTCACACCCTCCTCTGTGTCCTTCCCAGATCCCGTACCAACTTCTGCTATGGCCCCAGCAATGTTTTATTGCAAGTATTTGTCTAAAGCCTGTGTGCTGTCACTATAAGCCCCGTGTTTTATGCGTCCTGGCGGCCAGCCCAAGCATACGGCAGGCTCTGCAGAAACTTACTCAGTAAATGCTTGTGACCCACACTCCCGGGCACTGGAAGGTTCTCATGCACCAGGCAGAATGAAGCAGGATGGCCTTCCCTAGGATGGAGTTCAGACTCGCTCCAGCTGGATCCCTGGTGCTTGCCCTGCGTGCGGTCTTCCAGAGGCTACGTCACTGGTTCTCCATCTTGGTTGCTCTTGGGATCACCTGGGTATCTTGAAAAGTTCTTCTTGCATGAGAGTTGTGTTTCATTGATCTCAGATGTGGCTTAGGGATTCTAAGGAGAAGCTCAGGTGCGGTCTCCTGAGTGCTTGTTCCGAATTCAGGTTCCCAGGCCCCACCCCGGACCTGCAGAATCAGAATCTTCATTGTAACAGGATTCCTGGGCACTGGGTGCACAATAATGTTTATGAAGCTCTGTGCCCACACACCAGCGGTTCTCAAAACTGGCTGTGCATTAGAAACATCGTGGTGGCTCATACCCCAGAGGATTTCATCCGAAATTCTGGAGGTGGTACCTGGGCAATGATTCTAATCCGTGGCCAGGGCTGGAACAATTGCTCTGGACCTCGCTGCTTGGTTGTCCATGGCTGGCTGACCTGTGTGCTGGTTTCTCCAGGTGCTTCCTAGTTCCTAGAGCCACCTTTTCTCCTGCCAGGACTAGAGAATGTGCTCTGTCTTTTCCTCTTGGATGAAAGGACCTTCCCAGTCGTGGCCAGCTCCACAGAAATGGCCAGAATCACCTTAGCTCAGGGTGGTTCCTTGTCCTCCCATCCACAATCCCTCTTCCTCCTGTTCACCCCACGGTGAACGACACCACCATCCACCTACCAGGCACCCAAGCCGGAAACCTGGGCGCCTCCTAGCTTCTATCTCCTGCCTCACTACAGCCTCCAGCCAGACTTCAAGTCCTGCCAGTTCTTCCTCTGAAGGTCCCTCCAGGCTTTCTCCTTCTCCTCAATCCATTGTCATTGTTCTTCTTCAGCCCCTTGGGGTTTCTCATGCAGACCTTTGCAAAAGCCTCCCATTTGGCCTCCCTTGCTCATTCCTGCCCCTGGCGATGCATCCTCTGTATGGCACCCAGAGTGGTCTTTCTCGAGCTATGTTTGGCTGTTTCTCTTCTACGTGTGCCTTTTTAATGGCTCATTACTGCCCTTGGGCGTGGTTCCAAACTCCTTCACATGGTACGTATTGTCATTCCCATCCAACCACAAGCACCCTGTGCTCCATTTATATGGAGAAATGCACAGTTCCCCCGAATCCATGCTGATGTTCATGCCTCCCGTGCCTTTGCACATGCTGCCTCTCTGCCTGGGATGCCCACCTGACGGCCCTACATTGCCTGGTGAGCTCTTCTTCCTTGCAGACTGAACCCTTATTAAGGCTAAGTGCATGTGCCCTTCAGCAGGGCTTTTGGGGACGGAGGGTTTTAACCCAAAGGAGTAGCTCTAATATAGGCATTTTTGTCTATATAGCGGGCCAGGGGAGGAGGGGCTTGGGGGGAAGATGGAGGAGTTAGGGGTACACGAGACCTACCTCCAAGTCCCCACTGTGCTGGCAACCACCTCTGCCAACTTGTAGACCCAGATATGAGCATGGCAGCTGGCGTGGTGCCAAAGAAATGTCACCAAGATTGGTACATCTGATCATATGCATTCTGTATCATCTAGGACCTGAAAAGGAGCCTTATATGTTTGGGGTCCTACGTGCCCCACATCTGGTCACAGAATCCAAGAGGAGTTGGCTGGGTTCTTTAAAAATTTCCGACACTTGCGCAGAACGAGGATTTTTGTACCTTTTTCCAATCGCCTTTCTGCGCACTCCCCAGTCCTCAGACCGCCCTGCTTCTTTATTGGTTATCCTGTATAAACACCCCAAGCTTCTTGCCTTGGGGAGATGGATTTGAGATGTGTTCTCCTATCTCCTTGCTTGGCTGCCTTGCAAATAAACCCTCTGTTTGCTGGAAAAAAAAAAAATTCCTCCTTCATCCCCTTTCCTGCTGGAACACAAATCACGAACAGCCCCATCCAAATGTGATTGCCGACCCCTGTCTTCTGGGGCACTTGGATGGATGGAGGTTCCGTGGTCCACCAGGCTGGTGTTCCATTCCATGGCAGTGAAGAAGTGCTTCCTCCATGTAGCCCAGTGGTTGATGCCCATTTTCTCTTGTCTGGTCTCTGGAAGACACAAAGAACAGGGAATCAACACGCTTCTCATCACAAGCCTTCATTTCCTAGGAGACAGTCCTGGCTGAAATTAATTTACTGAAATATGTGCCTTTCCCGTGTCAGGCTTGCTTTGTAAGAAAAACGCCTGAGTTTAACAAGTCACTAAGCCTAGGACACAGCGTTTTCTCTTTGTGATGAAAAACAGGCATCCCATTAAATGGGATAAATTACTTGGTTACACTTAGTTTGTATCTAAGTGTTCTGTTACTAAATAGTTTTGGCTGGCGATCTCCATTATCCCCGCTGGCTTGTGGATTGGATGAATAGCCTCTTGCCTGAAACTCTACCCTCTTAGCTTTGCGCATTGATTCTCCCGAGGCCAATAAGACAAGTAATAACAGGTACGTGTTGGATTCTGCAGCTCGTGTTTCAATCTGTGGGTTAAGACCAGGACATCAGTATTGTGCTGGTTCAATGTCTGCAGAGACTTGACTCCATTAATTGCCACCCAACCACCGTCCCTATGGGCTCTTTCTCCATTGCATAGAGGCACTTTGAAGTCTTTTCAATTTTAAAAACAACTGTACCCCCAAACCACTATTAGCCCCACAATTCAGTTGAGAGACATTATCTCCATTCCGCAGCCCTTGCCAACTACTGTTCTATCCGTCTGCTTCCTTTTGCAGTCAAGTCTCTTCAATGTGGTCTACACTTACTGTCTCTTGTCTCCTGCAGCTTCTCTTAAGTGAGCTCCCTGTCGCTAAGTGTGGTCTTATTTCGCCTTCAGATTACGGTAGCACTTAAACCTTTTTAAAATTCTACCCATTGTGAGCTTCCAGGAAACCACGTCCTTGTGGCGCACTCCGACTGCCCCGGCTCCTCTTTCATAACCTCCTCTGATGTCTCCACTTCCTCTACCTTTCCCTTCATTACAAGGCAATTCTCAGAACCCTCTTTTTCTCCCAGTCTCCACAGCCTTCCTGGACAATCTCACCAACTCCAATGGCTCCATGCTCTGACTGGGACCTCCTTGCTGAGCTCCAGACGTAAATATCTCACTGCCTTGGGACATCTCTTGTGTCCAAAACTGCTAGGTCCTCCTCCCCGCAGTGCTCTTCCTTCTCTGTGTGGTCATTCTCTTGGGGAATGGCACGACCACACATTGAGATCTACCATGAAACCTTGGGGTCATCTTTGATCTCCCATCCAGCCGGTCACAAAGGTCATCTGACTCAAACTCCTCAATAATTTCTAATCCATCTCCTCTCCATCGCTGAACCACCGGGGCTGCTCTTTACGTCACCTCTCCATCATCCTCCCCAGGAACTCTGAAACTGCCTCCCAGTTGGTCTCCCTTCCTCCAGCTTTGCCTTCCTTCAATCTAGTCTCCACGCTTGCTGCTAAAATGAGCTTTCTGAAATGCAGAAATGCAAATCTGATCAGGTCACTTGCCAGCTTGAAATCCATCATCCCTGTTTTCAGAAGAAAACCCAAACTCCTTAGTGTGGCCATGAAAAGCTCTGCAGGACCTGGCCCTCCCTCCCGCTCCAGTCTCACATCTCATAAACCCTGTTCTCGTTCTCCAAGCCCTGCTTACATTTGACCACTTGCTGTTCTGCGTTTCCAGTGGTCCATGACCTCTCATGAGGTTGCTGTCTAGAGGTTGGCCAGGGCTGCAGCCATCTGAAGCCTGGGGCTGGAAGATCAGCTTCTAAGGCTGGCAAGTGGTGCTGGTTGTTGGTCGGAGGACTCAATCTCCCCACATGGGTCTCTCCACGGGCTGCTTGGGCGTCCTCACAACATGGTGGCTGGTTTTCCCCAGAGGGAGAGGGAGAGAGAGAGAACCAGGTGGAAGCCATCCTTTTGAGCACCTAGCCTCAGAACTCACAGCATCACTCCTACCATATTCTTTTCATTACATGCAAATAACTGAACTAGTTCACATCCCAGAGAGAAAAGGCGAATTAGGCTCTGCCTTGTGAAGGGAGAAGTGTCGAAGAATCTGCAGACATTTTTTTGTTGTTGTTGTTTTTTGTTTTTTGCGGTGCGCAGGCCTCTCACTGCTGTGGCCTCTCCCGTTGCGGAGCACAGGCTCCGGACGCGCAGGCTCAGCAGCCATGGCTCATGGGCCCAGCCATTCTGTGGCATGTGGGATCTTCCCGGACCGGGGCACAAACCCGCGTCCCCTGCATCGGCAGGCTGACTCCCAACCACTGCGCCACCAGGGAAGCCCCTCCCTATGCAGACATATTTTAAAATTTCTACCAAAGCTGATAATCAAGGGTCGAATTTTCCCAGTTCATGACAGTTGTGGAAAGTCATCTAGAGAGTAGAGAACGTGTGCTTTCCAGTGAATTCTGTGGCAGCAACAGGTCCTCAAGTTCAACACCAATAGACCTGGAGTTCTTTACAGTGGGAGGCAGTGTGGGATTCTGTTTAAGTGAAGGGAGGGTTGTAATTAGACAAATCTGAATTTAATTAATTACCAGCTCAGCCACTTACTAGCTGTGCAAGCTTGGGAATAGTACTTGTCTCCTCTGTGCCTCTGTTTTCTCATTGTATCATGGCATTAAAATAGTGTGGCTTCCTCAGAGGGTTGTTGTGAGGATTAAACAAAATAATGTATGGAAAGTTAGCCCAGTGCCTGGCATGGTAAGTACTCAGTACCTGTTAATTACAAATAATAATGGAGAAAGAGAAATTAAGGAAACACTCCCATTTACCGTTGCAACAAAAAGAATAAAATACCTAGGCATAAACCTACCTCAGGAGGCAAAAGACCTGTATGCAGAAAACTATAAGACACCAATGAAAGAAATCAAAGATGATACAAACAGATGGAGAGATATACCATGTTCTTGGATTGGAAGAATCAATATTGTGAAAATGGCTATACTACCCAAAGCAATCTGCAGATTCAATGCAATCCCTATCAAATTACCACTGGCATTTTTCACAGAACTAGAACAAAAAATTTTATAATTTGTATGGAAACACAAAAGACCCTGCATAGCCAAAGCAACCTTGAGAACGAAAAACAGAGCTGGAGGAATCAGGCTCCCTGACTTCAGAAAGCTGCAAAGCTACAGTAATCCAGACAGTATGGTACTGGCACAAAAACAGAAACGTAGATCAGTGGTACAGGATAGAAAACCCAGAGGTAAACCCACGCACATATGGTCACCTTATCTTTGACAAAAGGGGCAAGAATATACAATGCAGGAAAGACAGCCTCTTCAATAAGTGGTGCTGGGAAAACTGGACAGGTACATGTAAAAGAATGAAATTAGAACACTTCCTAACACCAAACACAAAAATAAACTCAAAATGGATCAGAGACCTAAATGTAAGACCTGTCACTTCTGCCTATGTTAGAGGAAAACATAGGCAGAACACTCTATGACATAAATCACAGCAAGATCCTTTTTGATCCACCTCCTAGAGTAATGGAAATAAAATAATAAACAAATGGGACCTAATGAAACTTAAAAGCTTTTGCACAGCAAAGGAAACCATAAACAAGACAAAAAGACACCCCTCAGAATGGGAGAAAATATTTGCAAATGAAACAACTGACAAAGGATTAATCTCCAAAATATACAAGCAGCTTATGCAGCTCAGTATCAAAAAAACAACCCAATCCAAAAATAGGCAGCAGACCTAAATAGACATTTCTCCAGAGTAGACATACAGATGGCCAACAAACACATGAAAGGATGCTCAATGTGACTAATCATTAGAGAAATGCAAATCAAAACCACAAAGAGGGGGCTTCCCCAATGGCGCAGTGGTTAAGAATCCGCCTGCCAACGCAGGGGACACGGGTTCGATCCCTTGTCTGGGAAGATCCCACATGCCGCGGAGCAACTAAGCCCGTGCGCCACAACTACTGAGCCTGTGCTCTAGAGCCTGTGAGCCACAACTACTGAGCCCACGTGTCACACCTACTGAAGGCAGTGCACCTAGAGTCCCTGCTCTGCAACAAGAGAAGCCACCACAACGAGAAGCCTGCACACCGCAACGAAGAGTAGCCCCCGCTCGCCGCAACTAGAGAAAGCCCGCGTGCAGCAACGAAGACCCAACACAGCCAAAAACAAATAAAATAAATAAATAAAATAGATATAAATAAATCTATTTGAAAAAAAAAAAACCACAATGAGGTATCACCTCACAACGGTCAGAATGGCCATCATCAAAAAATCTACAAACGATAAATGCTGGAGAGGGTGTGGAGAAAAGGGAACCCTCTTGCACTGTTGGTGGGAATGTAAATTGATACAGCCACTATGGAGAACAGTATGGAGGTTCCTCAAAAAACTAAAAATAGAACTACCATATAACCCAGCAATCACACTACTGGGTATATACCCTGAGAAAACCATAATTCAAAAAGATACATGAGGGCTTCCCTGGTGGCACAGTGGTTAAGAATCCACCTGCCAATGCAGGGGATTGGCAGGGACGTGGGTTCGAGCCCTGGTCCGGGAAGATCCCACATGCTGTGGGGCAACTAAGCACGTGCACCACAACTACTGAGCCTGCGCTCTAGAGCCTGCGTGCCACAACTACTGAGCCCACGTGCTACAACTACTGAAGCCCGTGCGCCTGGAGCCTGTGCTCCGCAACAAGAGAAGCCACTGCAATGAGAAGCCCGCGCACCACAACAAAGAGTAGCCCCTGCTCACCACAACTAGAGAAAGCCTGTGCACAGAACGAAGACCCAATGCTGACAAAAATAAATAAATAAATAAATTAAAAAATATATATATATACGTACCACTGCACAATGTTCACTGCAGCCCTGTGACAGGACATGGAAGGACATGGAAGCAACCTAAGTGTCCGTCAACACTTAGGATAAATGGATAAAGATGTGGCACATATATACAATGGAATATTACTCAGCCTTAAAAAGAAACAAAACTGAGTTATTTGTAGTGAGGTGGATGGACCTAGATTCTGTCATACAGAGTGAAGTAAGTCAGAAAGAGAAAAACAAATTCCGTATGCTAACACATATATATGGAATCTAAAAAAAAAGGTTCTGAAGAACCTAGGGGCAGGACAGGAATAAAGACGCAGATGTAGAGAATGGACTTGAGGACACGGGGAGGGGGAGGGGTGAGCTGGGACGAAGTGAGAGAGTGGAATGACATATATACACCACCAAGTGTAAAATAGATAGCTAGTGGGAAGCAGCTGCATAGCACAGGGAGATCAGCTCTCGGTGCTTTGTGACCACCTAGAGGGGTGGGATAGGGAGGGTGGGAGGGAGGGAGATGCACGAGGGAGGAGATATGGGAACATATGTATATGTATAACTGATTCACTCTGTTATAAAGCAGAAACTAACACACCATTGTAAAGCAATTATACTTCAATAAAGACGTTAACAAAACAAATTAAAAAAATAATAATGTAAATGTCCATCTGCCTTTCTCAGACAGCTGTTGGGTCTCCTGGAGGCAGAAGAATAAACTAGGTGGCTTTTTAGCGTCCTTTCTAGGCTCTCAGTTGAGATGGCCTTAGGGAGAGTGGGGATTACCCTGACCACTTGCCACCTGACCAGCTGACTACCAGACTGCCCCTGATTTCCCTGAACAAGGATCTGATGGCGGGTCCAGGGTGACCTTGATATTCCTAGCCACATCACTTACTCATATCTGTGTTTTTTTCAAGGTCAATTTCTTCATCTTCTTGAAAATCCTCAAGCTTCTCATCTCTAAGCTCAAAGCTCATCAAATGTGCTTCAGAGATTATAAATACAGGTGAGTGGCCTGAGGTCAGTACCCAAGAGCCCAAGATTATTTTTACCCCTTTTGGCCGTTCTGGCTAATGTCCCAGGAAGGGGGTAACATTGCATCAGTACGTTTATCTCCGGACACAAGGGTGTCAGCAAGAGCCCCTCTGAAAAAGGCGCCGTGGGATCATGTAGGGCTTTTGCCAAAGATGAGGACCTTCCGAGCCCATGCAAATGAAGTCAGTGGTGAGTAGTGAAGGGCACACACATTCCCCAGCAGGACACTGTTAAAATGCTCCTAAGAACGGGTGCTTTACGGGGACAGGAAAGAGTCACACGAAAGGGAGTTTGACAGTTGCCTTCCTTCGGGAAGGAGTTGAGGCAACAGAATAAAGGATATGTTGTAACTCAGGAGAGAGTATTTGGGTATTTGTAAGATCTTGAGTAAGACAACCGCAAACTTTTGGAGTCCAAGGGAACATTCTTCACACAGTCACGCTTTCTTTGTGACTTGCCATTGCTGCATCCCGTGTTCTGCTTTCCATGGTGACAGCGGTCCCGTCGCAGAGTAAGTCAGATCCTGGGTGTTTATTGAGCTCTGCATTGCTGTCACTCAAATGATGAGTGAGTGAGAGAGAAAGGGCTCCCTCCCACCTTTCCCAGGTACTCTGCTTTCTGTAGGACGTGTGCACTTCTTGGGGACAGAGGGTTTTAACCCAGAGCTCCTCTCCCATGGTAGAGATTTTAGTCCTTGTGGTAGGGGTGGAGGTGTGAGTGAGGGTGGCTGTACCTCAGCTTCTCCCTTTCTCAGGCCAGAACGGGCCCCGAGCCGGGTGTGCCGGGAAGGTCGTTTGCCCATTTATCTGACAAACGTTGAATGAATGTCTAAAATGCGCTTGGCGCCGTGCTTCAAACAAAAGGTGAATAGGATGGGGGCCCCATCTGTGAGGAGCACACTTTCTAACTCGCCAAGGACCGGGATGTGGGTGTGGAACATGAGTCGGGGGGCTGATGCTGGCGTTGACCCCACACTGACCTTGGGCAAGTTGCTTGGCCTCCCTGGGTCTGCTTTCTAGTATGTCACATGGGAGCGTCACCCCAGACCCATCCTCTGCCTGTGATCAGGATTAAAGGAGGTCCTAGTTACGCCTGTCCCAATCTAATCAGATGTGGTGCGTGGTATTTGCCCCGGGTGTCCAGACCCCAAATCCTGTCAACCTAACCCCCACCACCCCCAGGAGTTCCAGAAGGGTAAACACACCATTCAGGACCAGGCAAATATGCACGGTATTGGCTCTAATGTTGCGTAACCTGCCCCTGGCCCTGGGACACTTGGGCTGGCCTGGACCACACAGAGCTACGCCGTCTTTCTCGGCGCCTCCGGCCGAGCCTGCAAGTGGCTGACAGGCTCTCTGGCCCTTTTCCCAAGGCTCAGCCTCTCACCACTCTGTGAGGATGGAGGTCCAGGGCCAAGAGCAGGGCTTCTCCCACCTACCCTGCCTGGGTCCATTTAGGGAGGGAATCCTCTCACTAACCAGGCACCGTGGAAACCCAACAGAGGACAGCACTCCCGGGAGACAGAAATGGGGCAGATGAACGCCAAGGCACCACTTTCCACACAGACTGAGAGCCTAAACCCTGCCATTTTGTGCCTCCAAAGCCCACCAGGTACTGCTGGGGCCATCCCCGAGCGTCAGACCCACAGTGGCCCCTACGATAGTTTTCCATCCTGGCTATTTTAAGCATCACCAGACAGCCGGCCAAAAGCCCTGATGTGTGAGCTCTTCTACTGGATGTTTGGTTCAGTAACTGAGGGTTGGAGCCCCACACAGGGACTTCTTACAGGAGAGTTCCTAGAAGATTCGGATACACAGCCAGAGTGGGGGCACCACGGGGCCAGATGTTCTAGTGAAATAACGCATGGAGCTTTCTGGTCAGCCGTGGCAAATGTGTTTCTAAGCAGCCTTGACAGCCTCTTTTCCAGGCTCTTCTCTAGAGTTATCCAAGACGGTGGCTCTCAAACTTTTTTTAAAAAATTAATTAATTTTTGGCTATGTTGGGGTCTTCGTTGCTGTGCACGGGCTTTCTTTAGTTGTGGCGAGCGGGAGCTACTCTTTGTTGCAGTGCGCGGGCTTCTCATTGCGGTGGCGTCTCTTGCTGAGGAGCGTGGGCTCTAGGCACGGGGCTTCAGTAGTTGTGTTGCGCGGACTCAGTAGTTGTGGCTTGCAGGCTCTAGAGCGCAGGTTCAGTAGTTGCAGCGCATGGGCTTAGTTGCTCCGCAGCATGTGGGATCTCCCAGGACCAGGGCTTGAACCCGTGTCCCCTGCATTGGCAGGCAGATTCTTAACCACTGCGCCACCAGGGAAGCCCCTTTCAGACTTTTCTGATCACGTGTCTATTAGTAAAGAATGATGTCACTCATCATATATATACATGGTTTACTGAACTACTACACACATGATACACCAAAATAAAGAAAATTATAAAGGATAGATAAAAATGTAACACACACAGAACTTCTATTCTCCTCTCTTACTATGTATTCTTCCAACACCAAATGGATTTCCTCGTACAGCCCTGAAGTGTGCATACCCAATTAGGAGGCAATTATCTCTGGAAGTGTAACTCAATATACTGGGGAGACCTCCATGGCTGAGCAGTGATTCAGGACAGCTATTTTGGGGAGAGACAGAGTAACCCTGCCTAGCATAAACGATCTGTCTGGAAACCTCTCCATCCTTCTTCAAGGTAAAATCTTGAAAAGAGGAACCTGCCTACCTGGAGGCCTCCCAGCGTGAGACACCTCACCTTGGCGAGTTTGATGTCTACCACCTGGGGACTGTCCTGGGGAGACTTTTGCTGTGAGTGGCTGAGAGTTTGGAGGGCTAAGTGTAACTGAACTCTAACTTGGTCTAACTTAGTCTAACTAAGTCTAACTGAACAAGAGACTGATCTACAAACCAGACTATACAACTATTCATTCTTAGAGTCTGTGAAAAGTGGGAGTGGGACGTTCCTGCTAGTGCCTGCACTCCCTGTAGAGTTGACACCAGAAGATCCAGAAAGCCAAAGCCGTCACCAGAATGCTGCTTGGTGATCACGTCATCAAAGTAAAGGGGTTGGTGTTGAAGGATCACTGACGGTGGCCTGAGAAACCACCACTGCCCTGTGGTGCACCCGTCCCGGTGAGAGGGAGGTTCATTCCCCAGAGTCTCCACCCCTAGGGCCGGATGAGTACTGAGAACGTCCTGCTTCTTTGTGACTTTTCCTGCCATTTTGGTTGGCCGTGTGCTTTCTGTTTATTCTTTCTCCACGCAGAGTGCAATACAGTTGATTAGCTAATGCTTATTAATTAGCAAAAAGTCAGGGCTCTGTCTCTTAGGACACACCCAGGCCACCTTATTTTACTCTCTGGGCCAGGGAATCCTACAGCGTCGAGAAGCACATTTGCCCATCTCCTTGTCACAGCAGCGCTAACTTCCTCATTTCTAAGTTCTGGGAAGGCTGCTTCCCGTCACCCCAACGGATCATGAGCGCCCCCAGCTCACACTGCCCTCCTCCACGTTGAAAGGTTCTCCTCTTCCACGTCCCCTTCCATTAGGGCCCCCTGCTAGGGGGGAAGGAGGAAGGGGCAATGGGGCCCAAATGCATTTTGTCCTAACTGGTAGGAACAGCCCAGCCTACAACTCTCCCAGATTTTGAAAACTTTCAGAATGTAGTTCTCAAGATTTGCGCCCCCCACCCCGCCCCGAGGAGTGTATTTTAGGAAAGTTTAAATTAAACACACTTAGTCCTTGCCAAAGAGGCAAGTGGCTAGGAGCTGGAGACCTTTTGCAGTCCTAGCCCTCAGCCCCCGGCTTCTGTCATTCAAGAAGGAAACTGTAACCAGCCCAGCTGCCTGCCTGGTCTGGACAGGGACAGCTGAGCCAAGCCTGGAGAAAGAGCAATGTCCCTGGATCGTGGACAGACACCAGTGGACCCTCAGCTGGGAGGGAGTTCTCTGTTCTTTGTGGTTCCCGGCATGGAGGTGACTCTCTCCTCCTAGATAAACAATCTTAACTTTCCGTGTGATGCATGGGGCAGAACTCTTACGGAACTTATAAAGGAGAATCATTTCTTAACATGCTAAACCCCAGACCCCTTTCTGAAAGAACTTTCAGAAAAATGTCACAAATGGAAGAAAAATAATCCAAGTCACTGAGGTTGTGAGCAACTTTGAGGACAGGGACAGATGCTTTAAAAACGGTGATAGCTAAGTGTTACTGACTGCACATCATGTGTCGGGTACCATTTATTCTGAGGGTTGGGCCCATGTTATTTAACCCTTACAATGACACTGTCAGGAGTTATTGCTACTAATATTTTTATAATTATTTTAACATTTCAGATGATATTAGTAGTAGTATAATCCTCATTTTTACAGAGAGAGAGGTTAAATAATTTTCCCAAGGCCACATCGCTAGTAATTGGCGGAGCTGGGATTTGAACCCAGGCCCCAGGTTCTGCCCCGTGTCCCGTTGCCTTTGGCCCCAGATCCTCCTGCTTGATCATATGTCCAGGGCAGATGCCCAATATCTGTTGAAGAGCTAACCGACGGCAATAAACTAAACCATTTAAATAAACAAATGACTGAAGATGAGAAACAGGCATAAACACAGTTCATAAGAGGATGCTGCTATAGATATTTATGGATTTTCATCTGAACAGAGACGCAAATAGTCCTTTGTCCAAGGAGAATTGAGAATCAGGTGAGGAGTGGGAAATTCCTTCTGACATCCACCCAGAGAGGTGGCAGGTATTAAAATGGCCCAAAACCTCATAAAAAGATGATCATTCCTTAAAAATCCTCCTGTCCTAAGTGTGGGATCTTGGCTTCTGGAATGTGAAAAGGACATTAGTGGAAACACTGGTGAAATCTGGTTAAAGTCTGGAGTATGGTTATTGGCCATATGCCAACATTAGCTTCTTAGCGTTGCCGAAGGTACCATGGTTCTGGAGGGTTTTCACGTTAGGAGAAACTCAGTGAAGGGTATGTGGGTACTCTCTACATAATCTTTGCTACTTTTCTGTAGATCTAACATTATGCCAAAATGAAAAGTTTATTTTAAAAGCATAATGTAGTAGCATGGCCCCAAGAATAAGCTGATGGTAAGACGTGGGTCTGCGTGTAAGTATGTGTCATTAAAACCCATATACTGCAGAGCAAGGGTCGCAGACTCACACGCTTGCAAGGGCCAAGGAGGCTGGTTGGGTTGGAGATTGTGGGTTCCCTGTAAAGGCTGTAACCGACGACTGCCAAGCAGGAACTGGGGCCTAGCATGGCCAGATCTCCCCATTTTTCAAAGGAAGCTGAAGATCTGGACCCCTTTGCTTGAAATCACCTTTTTTTTTTTTTTTTTTTTGCGCAGTACGCGGGCCTCTCACTGCTGTGGCCTCTCCTGCTGCAGAGCACAGGCTCCGGGCGCGCAGGCTCAGCGGCCATGGCTCACGGGCCCAGCCGCTCCGCGGCATGTGGGATCTTCCCAGACCAGGGCACGAACCCACGTCCCCCGCATCGGCAGGCGGACCCCCAACCGCTGCGCCACCAGGGAAGCCCCACCTTATTTTTTAAGGATGGCTCCAATAGCAAAAATCACTACCTAGCATAAGCAGAGACTGTCTGCAGGTCAACTATAACCCACGGTTGCCACTTGGCAACCTCTGAGCTACAGGGTTTTAAAACACTCCTGGAAATTAGACAAACAAGCAAAACCCAGAACTCTTGAAATAGTCTCTCCTTGGGAACACCTTAATGTTGCTCAGCTAAGTGAGTGTGCACGGGTGAGTGTGGGTGTGCAAGTAGGTGTGAGCTCGGCTCAGGAGAACCACGTAACCAGGGCCTGTGTCTCAGACTCCCCACTCCTTGGCCTCCCCTTGACCATCGAGGCCCTGGGACGCTCAGCCCATATGCTCCGGGGGAGTCCCTCTCCTTCGTGACTCCTACTCAGCTGTTACAGGCTTTAGGTCCTTTTAGGGCACGAAGGTGAGTTTTTTTGTTTCATTGATAACACTGCATCTGAATGACTCTCACAGATGCAAGTTTCATAGTAAGCACTTTCTCTTGCAGAAAGTTAAACCTTCTTGAAGATACTGCCCATGAGGGGCTGCTGACCCTCTCTGTTTCCACATCTTTAATTCCACGGGGTTTTTATTCAGTGGGGAGGAAACTTCTCCTAGTTTGGCCCTTTAAGACAAGGACTTGGGCTCAAAAAATCATCAAATTTAAGCTCTTTTTTTCCCAATGTGTATCAGACAGTAGCTTTGTGTATGCCCTGAATAGGTCACCTGTGCTAATGTAGTTTGAAATCAAGAAGCAGCTCAATGGTGAAGAGCAGTTGTTCCCAAACGTGGCTGCTTGTCAGTATCCTGTGGGGAGTCCCTTAAAGATTCTCATTCCCAGAATCCAACCTCCAGAGGTTTTGATTCAGGGGGTTGACACTGGGGCTCAGGAAGCTATAGAGAGAGCGAGCCAACCAATAAAAATATATCTATTTTAAAAGCTCCGTAAGGAATTCTAATAGTCTGTCCACTTGGGAACCACCAGTATGCGGTATGGAATGTTTGGGTCCCAGCTGTGCATTTGCACGTGGGCGGTACAAAGGAATGTTTGTCTTTTTTGTGTAGAGTGTATACAACAGCAAGCTTCCACACAGGGCTTTTCACAAGGAAGATCAGTTTCTCATTTCCTGCTGCCCTTGCTATCACCAGGGTTGGGGGCAGCTTGGGGCAGATGATGAAATCCTGCTTGGAGTGTGCAAGGCCTGAGTGTGAGGTCAGAAGCCCCACTTCCAGGCTGGGAGGTACCACTTAGCGGCTGCGTGACCCTGGGCAAGTCATTTTCCTTCTCAGGCTCCGTAAAGCACTGACACTGGAAGTCCCAAATAGAGAAGGAGGTAGAGGCACCTGCTAGCTAGGTAATAGGAACTTGTCAAACCTGATAAGGGATGTAATGTCCTATGGTGACAGCCATGTGCATGGAAATCTATCCATCAAACAAAACATTAAGATCTGTAGGTATATCATTATATGGAGGAATCCATTCATTCATTCATTCATCCAATTCATGTTTTCTGAGCATCTTCCATGAGTCAGGTGTGGGGATGCATCAGTGGACAGGACCACACCGGCCCTTAAGGCATTCAGCGTGTAGCCAAGGAGACAAAAGGGAAAATCAGCTATTTATCAGTGCCATTAGGGCTAAACGATGCACAGAAGAGCAGGAAACGTTGCCCGTTCCCAAGGCGGCTTTCATGACACGTATTTGATTGCTATTTGCAGATTGGCCAAGTCCACGCTGGTCCTCATTCCTTTATTGGGTGTTCATGAGATTCTCTTCTCTTTCATCACGGACGATCAAGTTGAAGGATTTCCAAGATACATACGACTCTTCATTCAGTTGACTCTGAGCTCCTTCCACGTAAGTTGATGTCTGAACAAGGACGCCTTTGGCTTTGGAGAAAACAAAATGCCCTTGATCCAAACACACTGGAAATTGCGAGAGCCCGAAGAGGGAAAGAGAGCTCTGGTTACTAGTAGGATTTATCGGCTTTGGCATTAGAAGGGGGTGGAGATGGAAATGCTGTTTTAATCCTGCCAGCGTGACTCGGTGACTAAGAAGGGAAAAGTGGTTTGTTTCCGGCACTATAATAGTTGGTGTGACTCACAATCATATTCACCGTGTCAGCATGAAGCCTTTTATTAAGCGCCTATTTGTGCTGGGTTCTCTGCACAGTTTGTGCAAAATGAACAGTGAGTAGAGACCAGGAGGCTCTCGGACTTTGACAGGTGTGTGTGGGATGAAACTAGAAACAGGAGGCCACCTGTGGTTCAGGTACCTGGGTGTTTTGGTTATCCGTGGCTTCAATTGTCATCCATTACTTAGCAGATTAAAGCGACAGTAATTTTTATTATTTCTCATGATTCTGGGGGTCAAGAATCCAGGTAGGACATAGTAGGCATGTCTCACCTCTGCTCCAGGGATGCTTGCTGGGGCTGAACTTTCTAGATGACTTCTCCACTTGTATGTCTGGAGCCTAAGCTGCGGAGGCTCAGGTGGCTGAGACTGGCTGGAGTGGCTTTATTTGGGTCAAAATAAATTTCATCGAATCCCCACACTCACCAAAGGCCCAGGGGACAGAGCCTGAGGTATGGTAGGGGCAACTGGACAGTGGCTCTTTTTACCTTCTGTTAGAGCTGAATTGCACGTGGCTTTGAATGGAGACAGAGCGCCCACTGGTAACTTTTTGTCATTTTGAAACCATGTTTAATTTACTTCAATCTTTTGGGGGATTTCAAAGGCTAAAGTTTAGTCACTTGGGTTTCCTATGTTGCTTGGTCTTAATCTTCTTTAAAAAGTAATCCCAAATTCGAAACAACAACAACAAAACAAAAAATTACAGCTGTTACGTCAGTAGTATTTGGTGGCCTTTTTTCCTCTGAGGATTTGATCGGTCATGTGACCCCTTGATCAGCTGATCTCACACACCCGAGGCCAGCTGAAGATAAGACGCTCCTGCAGAGCTTTGTGGGACAGATTTCTTTGTAGGACAGATCCTAGCCTACCAGACTCCCTGGCAAGGGAGCATGTTTGGGTCACCCATTACTGTGTAGCAAACTCCCCCCAAACTTCATGGCTTGAATCAGAAACTATGTTATTAATCTCGAATGATTCTGTAAGCTAGGCTGTCTGGACTCAGCAGGGTGAACCTCTTGATACATGTCATCTTTGAATGGGGCTGCAAACATCTGAAGGCTTGATCTGGGCCAGAACATCCAAGACAGCTCATTCACACGGATGGACGTTGACATGGGCTGTTGGCTGGGAGCTCAGCTGGGGCTATCGATTAGGAACCTAAGTTCTCCATGTGGCCTCTCCACCTATCTTGTGCATCTCAGAGCATGGCAGCTGGCCTCTTAGGAGTATCCCAAGAGCAAATGCCCTAAGAGGGAGGAAGCAGACACTTCCAACCCTCTTAAGGCAAAGGCTCGGGAGTCCCAGAATGTCACTTCTACCACATTGTGCTGGTAGAAGGAGTCACAAGGACATCCCAGATTCAAGGGGAGGGAAGATATGGTCCATCTCTTGATGTGAAGGGTCACATATGCCTACTAGGAGGGGAGAAATCCTTGGGGCCATCTCTGGAGACCAGCTACCACACTGATCGTTTGGTCCTGCAGCAGCCTGAGCTCAGGCACCACCGAGGAAGGCAAGGAATCAGAGCAGCTCTGCAGATGGAGCTAGAAACACACTTAGGAGCTTGTGCCTGGACAGAGGCCATGCACCTTCTAAAGACCCCCACGCTGTTCCCCTCCAGCCCGCCAGGCAGAGGTGAGAGCACGGGTGGGCAGATGTGCAGGTGCACGTTCAGTGGGTCGTATCTTAGTGACTCCACCATAGAAATTAGCACTGGACCCAACAGCTTCCTTTCCTTACTGCTTTAGGGGACCCTTCACTCTCCCAAGGGCCTATTGCTTAGAGAATTTCACCAGCCTCCTGCCGTCAAGGGGTCTTTGGAGAGACCACCAAGTGGTGGTGACACATGGAGTGAGAGCCATCTGTTCGTGGGACCGCTCCCTTCACACTCGCTTCATCTAGAATGAGAGTCAACCAGACTCCAGGATGTCCCTCCAACCATGACTCAAGGACCTGACGAAGTGAAAGACACACTTGTGATGAGGAATCCTATTTCACCCAACTCATTTGTGAGACTTCCGGCACGCCGAAAGCACGCCCAACCCCTTCCAATATCTGGCAGTGAAAAGACCAGATAAAGGTGGTCTTCTGGTTGGGGGAAGGGGGCGGGGAGGGACAGATAATAACCAAGTTGACAAATGAAGAACAATTCTGGTTATTAATATTCTGAAGACTATGAAATAGAGAACTGTGACTGTGACTGGAACGGCTACCAAAAATTGAGTGGTGGGGAAAGACTTCTCTTTTAGGAGATATTTGAGCTACGACCTGAATTTTGAGAAGCCAGTTAGGCAGAGATTTGAGGAAAGAATGGTCCAGAAAACAGAAAGTGTGACAACGGGACCTGAGGAAGAAATGAGCTGATAGCCGGTCTCCAACATGCCCCCCGGTCATCTTTGCCTCTTGGCTTTCACAGACTTGAGTAGTACCCTCTCACACAGAATAGGGTTGACCTGTGCAACCATTAGAGTATTGTGGGCATGAAAGTGTGTGATGTTTGAGGCTAGGACATAAAAAGGGTTGCAGCCTCCGCCTGGCTCCCTTGGGTCACGCCCTCTGGGTGAAGCCAGCGGCCACGTCCTGAGGACACATAAGCAGCTCTATGGAGGGAGATGGAGGTTTCCTACCAACAACGAGCACCAACTTGCCAGGCATGTGAGCTGTCTTGGAAGCAAGTCAAGCCTTCAGATACCTGAAGTTCCAGCCAACAACTTGACTGCAACCAGAAGAATGACCCTGAGCGGGAATACCCAGCTAAGCCATGGCCAGATTCTTGGCCCGTAGGAAGTATATGAGACGATAAATCTTATTGTTTTGATCCACTTAGTTATACAGCAACCTAATCCATTAGCTTGAGATGCTGAAGGCACCCAGAAGGTCCGTGTGGCTGGAATATAGTAGCTGAGGGGAAGCGTGGTACAAGGTGAGGTCAGTGACACAGACACAAGGCCACATCACCTTAGCTCCTCCTGTGGTTAGGATATTGTATTTTCATCTAAGTGTGATGGTAAACCCCAGGCATGAAATGATCTATCTTTTCAGAAGAAATATTCTGACACGAGAAAAGGGTATTTACTATCTCACAAAAATGAAAATTTCAGGATCAGGTATAGCTGGATCCAGGTACTCAAACAATATCATCAAAATCTGCCTCTGACCATCTCCAGCCTCTGCTTTTCTCTATGTTGGCTTTATCCTCAGACGGGCGCTCTCCACGTAGCTGGGAAGATGCCCTTGAGTGTCTCCAGACTAACTTTGACTATAAAGTTGGCAAAAGCAGGGAAGAGGGTGCAACTTTCTCTTCTTTCCTGCTGAAAAGAACTGGGATTGGGCCTGCTTGGGTCACGTGACCATTTGGGCTGTTGATTGTGGTGATGGCCCTCCTAGAACATGAGGACCAAATGATTGACAGCCCTGCCGGAAGCCCAGGGAGTAGGGGAGGGTCAGGAAAGGATGCAAATCAGGCAAAAAAAATTAGCCATTGCCCACTATGGACAAATAGAAACGGGACAGTCACCTTGTACAGTATTTATATAATTGAATGAATGATGGAGAACCTTTAGGGTTTAATCACCATTGACCTATGAGCGTGTAAGCAAACGCCTAGGCTGATGTGGGTGGTGAGTGTCAAAGTAGGAAGAGACCCCGTGGAAATCCGAGTTAATGTACTCATTATGACTGACTCTAGTTAGTACAATCGAGTAGCTGCCTGCCTCTTGTAGGGGCTACTAGGACTAGGGCCGGGCTGTGGACTTGCCAAGTAACCGTCAGACACACCTTCTACTGAGTCAAGCTTCACGCCACCTCTTCCTTTCATTCCAGGGACTGCTTGTGGCCTTGCAGTATTGCTTTTCCAATGGAGAGGTACGTTTTCCACGCTGCCATCCCAGCTCCCTGCGAGGCTGGGGCCGGCATCCTACTGCCCCTGGAGAGCTCGGTTTACATGACGGTGCCATGGGGGGGTGTGCAGTGACCAGCACGTCCTGGGACAAATGGGTACCACAGGCATCCAGTCGAGAGAGCAGCAGGCATCTCAGACCGATGGGGAAAGGTATTGGGATGAGTTTTCCAGAGTTTTCCAGAGCCCAACCGTGGCCCCGCTGGAGCCGCCCTGGGAGTATCAAAGTGTCATACAGTTACCAGCTGTAACTCTGGAGTCCAAAAATCTGCATTCAGGCCATGACTCACCCACGTAGGAGATCTGCATTAGTCAGGTCACCGTGGCTCTTTGAGCCTCAGTTTCCTCGTCCGTAAAATGGGAATAACAGTGGTCTCTACCCTGCAGTGATACCCCAGGGATGCATGGTAAAGGTCCTATGCATGGTAACAACGATTATTTTTATTGTTAATATTATTGCAGAGCCCCCCACCAACTCTCTGCTCCCCCAGAAAGAGGCTTGAAAGGGGGAGGGGAAGAGGCCAGAGCAGTTTTCTCCAGACTTGAGGAGTTGGTGGAATCTCTGGCTCCCTGTCATCTTCCCCTCCCCCCACCCCAGGTTTAAATATGGATTTCTGTCTCCTTCCGCTAGAATGTAAGCCTCTTGACATCAAAACCTCTTCCGTCTGGCTCACTGCTGCCTTTTCTGTATCTTCAAGCAGGGACCCATGATCCACCAGGCAGGTTTCAAATGTCACCTCGACACAGTCCTTTTCTGAACACCCTAGCTCAGATTTTAGTCTCCTCACCCCACTGTCCTGCTTAAAGGCCTCGCGGTGTCACTGTCATCTGCTCTGCTTCTCTTTGTTCGTTTCCCCTAGTGAGAAGGTAGGTTTCCCAAGGGTGGTCCGGAGTAGCCACTCAATACACATTTGCTGAGTGGACACTGGACTCAGTGACTCCCAGGCAGTAACCCCGCCCTCTTCTCACCTGGCAGGTGAAGGCCGAGCTGCGGAAGCAGTGGGCCCGCTTTTTGCTAGCCCACCACTCGGGCTGCAGAGCCTGGGTCCTGGGGAAGAACTTCCGATTCCTAGAGAAATGTCCCAAGAAGCTCTCGGAGGGGACTAGCTCCAGCAAGCTGCAGAAGGCGCGGCCCTCGCCCCACGGTGGGCAGCTCCTGCACTCGACTGAGGAGGGCCTGCGGGTGGCGGGCGCCCTGCCCCGCCAAGGCCACGCAGCCTGGCCCCGGGGCAGCAGCGTGTCGGAGAGCAGCGAGGGGGACTTCACCCTGGTCCACACCGTGGAGGAGATTCTCGAGGAGAGCGAGATCTAGGCAGGAGCCCACCTCTCTGGCTCCGCTCCCCGGAGACTCCTGAGATGGGCGAGGGAGGAGGCGGCCAAGCTGTACGTTGCTGACCTTGCGGGTGCAAAGTCAGCCCACTTCCCGCGCACCCCGCCCACTCCGACGTGACGTCGCCCCGCCTACTTTGGACGTCTCTTCCCGGCTTGCCCTGCTCTGTGCGACAGAGGCTGCGTGCCCTGTCATCCTCATCACCCCCGCAGGTGTGTTTCCCAGAGCGCCACCAGCCTTCCGGGCTGGGCCCACATTCGAGTGAATGGAGCCCTAGGATACAGAGAGATGTCTGCTTTGAAATAGAGGCCAGCCGCTATCCTTCCTTTACTCTTCATGGTACAAGGTGTCTATCTGAAGTCGGGTTCAGTGTGTCCAAGGACCACCTGCGAAGTGTTTTAAATGCAGTCTGACTCATGGCAGAGATTCTAAGAGGGTGCATCTGGGACGATGGCCGGCGATGGGAATTGTGTAACAAGCATCCCAGGTAATTCTGATGCGACCCCACATTTTGAAAACCTGGGGCAGGATGGGCAGCAGCCAGAAGTCCCCCTGAGCTGGCCGCTGGCGGGAGAGACCGCCGGAGTCCTGCATTCAGCAGTTCAGCTGTGACACGCCTGCCCTCCTCTGACAGGGTGGACCGCACTCTGGCCCCCAGAGCCCTCTCCTTCCCTTCTCTCTTCTTCCTCTCTTGTCAAGTCTTCCCTCCCTCTCTCCATCTCAGTTCTCATCCGTGGGCAGCAGCAGTTCTGTTTGATCTGTAACGAGCCCATCCTTCCTCGGAGGGTTGGCCCCAGCACCCAGGGCCCCTCTGAAAGTTGCTGTTGGTCATTTTCTCACTTTTCTGGTTCCACCTGCCTGTCTGAGCTTGGCTTCTTCAAGCCTTACTTGCCTACCGTTCTCTGCCATTTTTGGTTTGCCGCTGATACCTGGATGGCCGTACCTTCTGCTCTGGGAGGTTTGCCCACTGTTCTCCCGGCCCTGAGTCCCCCACTGATAAGAGTCCCACTCCTCGTATGGAATTGGATGTGAGAGCTGGAGGGGACCCAGCTGAAACGAGAGGACTGTGGCTACGCCGAGGAGGCACCGAGGGGGCCGGGGCTGTGGACCCGGTCTGCAGGTGGGGAGTCAGTTGTGCCCAGACCCTGAGTGGAGGGTGCTTCTGGAGGCTGAGGAGGGCCCAGGCGATTAGGGTCAGGCTCAGTGACTGCAGCTGTAAGGCAAGAGGCTGAGGAAGGTCAAGGGAGGAACGTTCTATGGAAACAGGGTGTCAGTTCTCAGGAGCGTCACTTTTACAGCGTGTAAAATGTATGTGTACGTGGGTGGTCGGGGTATTATGCTGTGGGACCAAGTCCTGCCTTATATTAGGGGGAGGCGCGATATGATACTTATCAAGTAGGGGTGCCAGATTTTGCAATTAAAAATACACAATTCGGATATAAGTATACGTATAGCTGATTCACTTTGTTATACAGCAGAAACTAACACAACAATGTAAAGCAATTATACTCCAATAAAGATGTTAAAAAAATCCACAATTCTCAGTTAAATTTGAATTTTGGATAAATGAATATTATTATTGTCTAAGTATATCCCACGGGATATACTTTACGTGAAATCCAAATCCACTGCACATCCTGTGTTTCACCTGGCAACTCCATTGTCAAGGACACTTTGCAGCAGGACGGAGACCAGGGTGAGGCAAGCAGACCTCAGTTCAGGTGCAAAATTTAAGAGAGTACTAAAAACCCACAGTCGTCAAGATAAGTAATATTTTAATGCAATATTAAAAAAAGTCAAATCTGTAAGCTACAGCCCACGGGCCATTTATAAAAATGACATTTCATTGGAACCAAGGCTGGGATGAGGGTGAAGTAAGTGAGGCCATGAGATGCAAATAAAGGGTCTGGTCCTGACTATATACAATTTTGATATTTTGCTCATCATGGACGTTTTAACATTAATTTTCATTTTTAAACAATTGCATGAAAATATTATTTATCTTGACCACTGAGCTTTTTGTCGCTTACCTTCAATTTCGCACCTGAGGCCGGTGCCCATCTTCCCCTCCCCCCAGTCCTGGCTCTGCTGTGCAACAGGGGAAACTGAAGCAATGACATTAGGCAAGTACGTAACAAAGCAAAGGTTTGTTTTTTGGTGTCCAGATTGTCCACAATTCAATCATTAAAATATATGTCCTACTTTTTCCTTTCTGCAAAAATCTCTGCCGTTTCTCATCAACCCATTAGCACCTAGAAAGCAGGGCCGTGTCGTATTCCCAGCTAGTATCCAGCAGAGCCAGTTCAGAGCAGGTTCAGAACACATTCATCAAAGGAGACGAGACAGAAGCGTCTTGGGAGCATCAGATGCTGTCGAGGGTCAGTTACCCAGGACCCGGCCACTAGTAGAAGGAACTTTTTTTCAAGCACTTGTAAGTATGCCCTCCCCGCTCACTCCACACATGAGGTGGCACACACACACACCACACACACACACTGCTGCTTGCTCTTGTTCTGCTAATGATTAACATAAGTTTATTTAATTTGATTAATTTAATTTAATTTAATTTTTATTTAATTTTATTTAATTTAATTTGTTGATTCTTTTACATTGGTTTCACACTGGAGCTGAAGGTCTCTGCCCCTGGAGAATCTGGTGCACTGTTCCTGGCCAGAAGTGGGAAAAAGAGCTGCCGTATTAAGCCTGGGAACCTGGGTGGTCTATTGTCTCAGGGACCGAGAAGAGTGGGCAGAGAGGTCGGAGAGAGAAGCAGAGGTCAGAGGTCAAAAGGGTGGAAGGCAAGTGTCTGCCTTCTTCTAGACCACTCCCTAGATCATTCACTTTGCTGTTGCCTTAAAGATCCAGCCTCGTGGGTCTCAATCCTGGCTTTGCAATCACCTGGAACACTTTCTAGAAACATCGATGGCTGGTGAGACCAGAAAGCACACCAGCAGCCCAGCACACAGCTTGGACACGTCAGAAGCACTGTAGCCTTGGCTGTGGTGGAAATGTGACCAGTGGCAGCAATGGTACCTGGCACTGAGGGACCTATTGATGAATCTGTCTGGGGTGCCTCCTGGGGATGCTAAGAAATGCCCAAGGGCCACTGCACAAGAGGCTGGGACCCTGTGAGAGCAGTTTGGGTTATTGTTCTTGACGAGCTTGTTTCTGCCCTTGAGTTTCCATGTACATGAGGAAGCAGAAGTTCAGAGATGTGAAGTGACCTCCACAAAGTCTCTATAGTGGACATCTATTTTTACAACCCACCCCTCTTATACTAACAGCACCAAAATTTTCCTTTTGGAAATCACACATCTCCCACTCTCAGTCCTTGAAGTTTGAGTCATTCCAACTCTATCCTCAGCCCCAAGGATGGGCATGAAAATCTGCTTGGCCAGTCTGAGCATGACATCCTCCTGGCACCAGATATTGGGTCAGGGATGGACATAGAACCAATCAGAGCCAGTGAGAGACAGTCCTGGGACTCTTGACAAAAAAAAGCATTTTTTCTTTCTTGCTGAAATTGGAACCACAAAGAAGTAAGCCTGGATCTGCTGGTAGCCGTCTTGGGGGAAAAGCCTGCCTGGCAATGGAGACTCCACAGCAGCGAGCAGAACCAGGAGATGGAGGAAGAGCCCTGAGACCTTGCTGGAGCCCCTGGATTAAGCCTGACCTTAAAGTTGGTGCTACTCCTGGAATTTCAGTTATATGAGTCAATAATATTTGTGCCACAGCAACTGGTGTTGGGTCTTCCGTTCCTTGCATCTGGAAGAGTCTTGATGACATAGCTCATTACCACCCCTACCTCCTTCTCTTCTCTTCAGTCAAGTCGGACTTTACACTGCCTCTAAGTTCTCTTAGCGTCTTCCCCACAGGGTGCCCTAGAGCTGTACAGGATCCCAGCCCAAGTGGCCCTGCCACCCCAAGCTAACAGAAGATGTGCTAATTAGGTTATGACCCTTGGGTCCTCCATTGGCCAACAGAAGGTCCAGTGGCCCCTTTATGTCTCTTGTTGAACCACAAACCAACAAGGTTATTATGCAGTGTCTATCCTTTTAGACTCAAGTGACAAGGATACCTTGACCTCAGAGAGAAGTGAAAAGCTCCCAACTTCACACCCCAATCAACCAGATTGAGTCGTGGAGGGCAGTGTGTGTGGAAAGAGCACTGGAGTGAGGCATTGAGCCCTTTGGTTCTGTCCCTAGACCACCCTGGGTCTTTCGTCTCCCTCCCACATGGCTCCTGGGTGGCCCGCTGTGTCTGATACTGGAGGGGTATCTTGGGCAGGTTATTACTGTCCTCCCCCAAGAACCACTGGACCAGATGCTGTGTAGCCCCCTCTCACTTCCAGCTCCGATGCTGTGCAATCCCAGAATTCTCTGTCCTGTCATGTCCAGGTGAAAACTATTGAGGCAGCCTGGTGTAATCAAAGGGACTCCTGTTTGAGTACCAAATCCTACTCTTACTTCGTGGCCTTGGTGTCCTCATCTACACTATGGGGATAATAACACCTCCATCAGTGAAATAATGCCGAGCCTCTAGCAGGATGCCAGGCCCATAGGAAACGCTCCATCCGTAAGTGTTACAATGACTCTCCAGTTCGCCCTCCACAAAGAGCGGCACTTTCTGGCGGCGGTGATTGTGCCATTGCTGTTGCTAAAGCTGGGGTGATCCCCCCACACCAGCAGATGGAGACGCCCCAGCCTCAGAGCGTTGCACACAGGTTGCTCAAGTGTCCAGGACATCTGCATGTCCTGCATTTTTCTAACCTCATCTTGGAACTTAGGCCTGGAGAATAAATGAACTTTCAAAACTGAACACAATGCTCTCGAGAACCCGCCAGTGGAGCTCTGAGGTGTTCCAGGCCCTAGAGCTCTGATAAGGCAGTGTGGGCCAGTGGGCAGTGCTGGCCTGGCATCTGCTCATTAGCTGACCCTGGGCGACCTGCTTGCTGTCTCTGCGTCTCCTTTTCCTTGTCCCTAAAAATAGGGGCCTCAGGGCCATCTCTCTTCACCTTGCAGCGTATCAAAACTGAACTTGTCATTATCTCCTGAAACCAGCACCTCTCCCTGGTGTTTCCCATCTCGGTGGATGACATCACCACTCACCCGGCACCCAAGCCACAAACCTGGCTGCCATCCTTGCTCCTCCCTCCTCCCCTGTACCAGTCAGGTGGATTCTACCTCCTAAATATCTCCCGAGCAGGTCCCATTCTCTTCATCCCACTGCTGTTCCCCTGGCCCAGGCCACCTGGGCGACTGTAAGAGTGTGATCTCCAGGCCTCGGGCTTGCCCCTCTGATTTATTTCTACCCTGCCAGAGGGTCCTCTTACAAACAGAAATCCCTCCTACTTGAAACCTCACACGGTACCCACCACCCTCACCTCCCCTGGGCTGCAGGGAAGGCCTTGCATGCGCTGGCCCCTGTCTGCTTTGGAGGCTTACCTCACAATCCGCTCTCCCTCTCTCTGCTCTCTGGCTACACTGGCCTTCTCAGGGCCCTAGAAGTCGAAACGCTCATTGCTGCCTCAGGGTCTCTGAGACACACTGCTTCCCCACCACCACCCTTCCCCCACGGCAGTCCACTGGGCCTTAATTGACATGCCTCTTCATGAGGAACACCTTCCCCATCTCTGGGCAAGTCGGCCCCTCCCATTGTCTTCCCACAGTGCTTTGCGTGTCTCCATGGTAACCTCACCACCTCAACCGACTCCTTAAAGGTCTGTGGTCTCCTCTGCGCCCTGAGTTGCACGAGAACAGGGCTGTGCTGTCTCTCCTTCGGCACCACAGTCCCCGCACCCTGGCCTACGGCTGCGACACATCCTTGTCTTTGAGACTGAGCCGACAGAAGTCATTTCTTCTTCCAGTTCGAGAATGACCAGTCAGCTATGTTCCCGGCTCCTCTTGCATTTATTGGAACCTGCTTACCCAACAATCCACAAAGGAGCTTACACGGTACGGGGTGGGGATATTTAGGCCTCCTGTGACCTAATCCTGGGATTACTGCGGAAGCCTGGGCTGGCGGGCAGGGGGAGGGGAGGCAGGCAGGTATAGTGGTTGGGACTTGGTGAATTGCTAAAGACGCTTCAGTTTGGCAGGAAGCCGTGCTGCGGGGTTAATGTGCTGCGGGTTGGAGGCTCTCCCGCCCCCCGGGGGCGCGTGTGCACGTGCGTGTTTACGTTGGGGCGTGGGGGACGGGGAGGAGACCTGAGCAGTTGACGTCAGGGTTTCTTTTCCTTAAGTTTCTCCTTCACTTTTTGCGGCTCAAATTGGATCAGTCGTAGAATTTCCACATTGGCTAGGGTTCCCTCGATGAACTCTTTCTCTGTAAGTTTATCTGTGCACAGGGGGGAAGAAATTACTACAGTCAGGATAGGCTGCGATAAAGCTGACGTCGGCCAGCATACCCAGTACGGATGGATCTATTATGAAAATACTGAGTCTCAGTGCCCCGGAGGGTAACCCCACCCCTGACTCCACCCTAGGACCCCTGGACCTCCCCAGGAACCAGCAACAAGAGGGTTAAGTTCAGGCACTGCCGGGCCTCGAGGAAGTGTGCTGTGTCTCTTCTGACTGGCTGGTGATCCTTTCCTAGGCGTCTGTGCATCCGTGATCTACCTTCCCATTTAGGACAAGAGAGATCCTTGTCCCCAGCTATTGAATTCAGTTCTATCCAGTGAAATGCACTCACTAAGCCCTTCCTCTGTGCCAGAGTCACTGTGTTTGGGGCTGAGGTCATTGCAGGGGGCAGAGGGCAGGGTGTGGCGTGGAAAGGAGTGAGATAATGCCCCCTGGCCCAGGAAACTGTGTGTCTGATGGGGAGACAGTCGCCTGTAGAAATGACCCTAGAACGAGGCAGCTGTTCCTTCCTGCTCATGGCTATGCTCATAGTCCTGCACGTAGTAGGTGCTCAATAAAGCTTGGCTGAGCTATTTGGGTTTCGCCATTGGCTTATGTTCCAGGCCTTTTCGGCAACCTTAATCCTTCCTGGATTAGGATCCAGCCTGGTTCCCTGTGCAGGTCAGGATGGTGACATTTGGGTTTTAAAGTCCCAGCCGCCGACTTCCCTGGTGGTGTAGTGGTTAAGAATCTGCCTGCCAATGCAGGGGACGTGGGTTCGAGCCCCGGTCCGGGAAGATCCCACATGCCGCGGAGCAACTAAGCCCGTGCGCCACAACTATTGAGTCTGTGCCCGGGAGCCACAACTACTGAAGCCAGCGCACCTAGAGCCCGTGCTCTGCAACAAAGAGAAGCCACTGCCATGAGAACCCCGGGCACCGCAATGAATAGTAGCCCCTGCTCGCGGCAACTAGAGAAAGCCCGCGCGCACCAACAAAGAACCAATGCAGCCAAAAATAAATAAATAAATTTATAAAAAAAAAAAAAAAAAGAAGCAGCAGCAGTCCCAGCTGCTCTATCAGCCTCACACATAGCTTGAAACTCCTCCCAGGAGTGAGGCGTTGTCTCCAGATGGGCCATGTGAAAACACAAATCACGTGGTAGCAGTACTGTTTCAGCCTCCCTGT